TCGCTGCGCCGGAGGCCGTCAGGGTGCCCGTGGACACGTCCCCGACCGTGGTGAAGTTCCCGGCGTTGGCCGTGTTGTTGCTCGTCAAAGTGCTGCCGGTGATCCCGGTGGCCGAACTCAGCAGGCCCACGCTGGCCGCCCCCGTGATGCTCAGCGAGCTGCCCGAGACGGCGCCGGTGGACGTCAGCGTGGCGCCGGCGACGGTGCCGGCCGTGAGCGCTGCGCAGGAGATTGCGCCCGAGGCGTCCACGCCCGTCGTGAAGTTCACGTCGTTGCACAGCAGCTGGTCGCAGCCCACGTTGCCCTGCGCGGTGAGCCCGTCCAGAGTGGCCGAGCCCGTGAGGGCCAGCAAGTCGGCCAGCAGGCGGAGACCGACTCTCCTCGAAGGCAGTGGCCCTGATCTGCAGGCTGTACAGGTCCAGCGTGCCCGCCGACTCCTGCACCAGCCCAAAAGGGGATCGACCCGCCGAAGGCGCCGAAGTGCAGCTTTGCGACTCCGCCCAGGACGGGAAGTCCAGACGCGCCGTGCTCCAGACTCCCTGCGCGGCCGTGCCGAGGAAGGTGCCGGTGACGCCCACGTAGTTGTTGTCGGCAGCGCTGACGTACATCACCAAGTTGGAAGCCGTGCCCAGCCGGTACCGGCAGCCGAATCTCCCGGGCGTCAGGGTGTAGGTGCGCACGATGTTCCAGGCGAAGGCGCTCAGGGTCATGGCGTGTCCAGCTCGAAGCCTCCCACCGTGAAGCTGGCGTAATCCAAGTTCAGCAGGGGAAAACAAAATCAGCGCCGCAGCAAAGAATGCGAAGTGTGCAACCAACATAAGTCCAGTGAGGCACAATAGCTGTCGTCATGTACCACCCTGCAACTAAAAAAAGCCCGGGAAGGTGACTTTGGCCTCCCACCATGTGGGCGCAGCCTGGGGCGTCACCCTTTCCACCACACGGACAAACTAGAGTCCGTAGTGGCCTGTGTAGGTTCCTGCGTGAGGAATTTCGGTTGCCAAGCAACCTTATAACCTCCCCACTTTCGGGGGCGCAGTCCCAACGCAGCCCAGCTCGATCCTTGGTGTAGGACCTTACTGGGGCCTGACTGTACATTAAGCAGAGGTACAAGAGCCAGAGCCTCCCAGTCGATAGCGATCCCACCCTCACGAAACCACCAAATCAAAAGAAATGGAAGGAAACGAGAGAGGCCCAGGTTGCCCCAGGCGCCGTGCCTACTCTGGCCTTCAACACGGAGGAACCGACGGTCTGATCCGCAAGGAACTTAGCTATCCCTTACGAACTTTGACCGTTAGCCAACTAAAGGCCAAGACAGCGATGGTGCCCCCAACCCATTCATTTTCCCGGGCCGTGAAGGAAGGGACGTGGGAAGGAGATCCGACCCATTCATTTCCCAACCACTGTCAGACCGAAAGCAGACCACCCGACCCCCCTTAGCAGTGGCACCAGCAACACCGAAGGTGAAGCGAAGGGGTGCCACCACGCAGGGGAGCACCCAACTCGCCTGACCATCCAAGAAAAGTGGGCAAGCGCCTGCAACGGTGCACGCGCACAAAGGTGGATGGCGCCGTGGCCTGTCGACCACGAGGCACGCGCAGGTACTAGTCCGAAGACAGCCCCCCTGCACGCCGGCTAGGCGGTAGGACGTAACCATGTCCAATCATGGTTCCAGGACGAAGGCCTAAGGTACTAAAGGCCCTCCCCCTCCAACCTGGAACCCTCACGGGTCCACGCCGCCTCTTTGGGGCTAGGCATTGGGGACCCCATGCCCCTACCCACCCCGCAGTACGTCAGTGGAAAGTTTGTGAAATAAAAAATCTCGCAAGCGTCAGCCGACCCGTGTCGGGCTCCTGCTGCACCAGGGACCCGAGAGGCTTCAAAAACATCCGCCAGAGTTTGTGCAATAATCCAGGCCAGGACACTGCTCCGAAACCGCTTAGGGTATTGGGTCAATGCACCGCCAACAAGAAGGGGACACTTTCCAAAGAAAGGTACCTGTTGTGTGAAGCGACAACCAAACTGCATGCCAGCAAGCGTCCCAGTCCTCTGCGCGGCCCGCTCATAATCGACACAACAAAGCAGACACCACAAAGCAGCAATAAACTGTACAAAGAACAAGCGGCAAAAGAGCGCAGCAACACTTGCAACTGCTGCGCAACCGCCCCCTAGCTTTCAAGCCCAAAACTGGACGGGTTTGGCGCGGGTTTTTGATATCCAGACCCACAGGGCAAGAAAACTACACAGGTTCGCTCACGGTCTCCCCCTGCCTAGCAGAAAGGGCGTTACCCCAAACTGCAAGCTCAACCTGCCACTTGAAGGCAAGAGACGCACAAGCGCCGGCCCATCCTTTATCTCGGCAGGGTCGAGCCCTGCCGTGGCGGATGAATGAGCTGTTCGGCAGGTTTTCCCCGTGACTACACCCGATGCGGGACTCACAGCGTGATCAACATAAGGACATGCTGCCGTGAGCTGTTCTTCCGACTGTACATCGAGCCTGAAAACCCGACACCGCAAGGCAAAGCGGCTGCTGCTAAGCGAAGACCACACTGCAAGGCTGAGTACAACCAAGCAGTCATGGCAACGCGAATTAGCCCCAACCCAGAGTACTGGGAAGAAAGCACCGCGAAGCCAACCAAGGTTGGACGATGTGGCACAGGGTTGAGGGCGCGAAAAAAGGCCCTGCCATACCATCTCGCCAACACATGGAAAGTGGTCACGGGCAGACCGGCCAGGGACCCAGTCTGTAGCGACGTCCGAGGGCACTGCTAATCTCAAGAAAAAAACAGGCAGCAAACCCCGCGGACTACCGACGGTCTTCCCTTTGCATGAGTTGACCGTTTTTCCCGGCCTTGCCCCGGTGTGCCTTGCTTGTTGCCACAGCTGTTGGGTGGGCGACCGGAAGAGTGGCGTCCCTTGCAGGTGTCCAGTCCGCGTTGCCCAGTGCTATGCGTCTCCTAGAGTGCGGCGCTGCGCCCCATCAGCTTGGGGTGTTGGCTTGACTTGTCAACTGGGTGTGTCTTTGATTTTCTGCCCCAGTCGGCGTCAGGAAAATGAATGCTTTCCTGTGTACTCACAGGCTTGCACGTCCGCTGGCGTTAACACCGTCAGAAATGAATGCCTTGCACGTCTGGCGGGAGCCGGAGTCATTGGCGGATCACCTTGTTTGTTGTCGCCTTGCTGTCATGGCAAGGTGCCAGGGTAACGTCACAGACCCAACAGGGATCTGTGCGCATCGGGTGGCAAACGGTGCTAGATAAATGTGGCAAAAGCTGGGAAATCCAGCGCTTTACGGGCCTAAAGAAACGCAAAACTGTGTGAATGGCAACTTAGAAGCGGTCGCAGCGCAAAGCTCGCTGCGCTGCCCATCCTGCGTGAAAACCAAGAACAGCCGCCTATGGGACGCGTTGGTTCCAAGGCAACAAAACATACCACAGCACATTTGTGTTTCACTGTCTGAGCACACACGAATTGACGCTAAGTGTTCTTCCGTCCAACCAGTCATAAAAGCAATCTTTCGAAACATCTGCACACGTCTGACACCAGGAATAGAATAAAAATCATCTTCCAGGAGGGGAGCGGCAGCCTGCCTGGACGGTGGGTCTAAGGGTGGAGGGTTGCGCAGCAGATCCCACCCTTGCGGGTGGACAGATGCCTTTATGGCGGCGCCAACCACCATCTCCACGTCAAGGAAAAAATAAGAGAAGGCTCACGCCACACCATCCAAGCAGTGCCAAGACTAAAAGTAAAACCAGGACTGTTCTCGAACGCAAGCAAGCACAGCAGGCATTCAGCTGCACAAAACATCGGAGTTCCCTCGCCGTACCACCAACTCCGGAGCGCTGGCACTGTCAAGGGCCAGACTGCTGAAGAAAGACGGCACCCCCAAGCAAGGTTGGCCGCCCCGCGCGGGCACCTCCAGGCCCGGGCGCCAAGGTAGCACTCTAGCTTTCCGAAACCGAAGAAAGGGCGAGTGCAGCACCGAGATGTTGCCTAGCAGGCTGTCCAGGTGTGGAGCCAGCTATGCTTGCTACTCTTTTGCATCAGCTGCACGCGGTCGGCCTTTTCAATGTCATTCACTCATTTTGTCGATTTGATATGTCCGAATAAGAGCAGTCAAGGGTGAGAGACTGAGAGAGCAAGAGGCGCATTGCCCAGCCAAACCGTCCTGACGCGGACTCTGAGGTGGCAATTGGGCTCGATTTCATATGTTGTGTTGCTCAGCTAATTGGGGCTTGACTATTTATGACATGTGGCGCAATTTGCGGAACTTGGTCTGGATGAATGTTCGACGTTTCGCCATGAGGTCAACAATTGATTTTTGACCATCGTCATTGAAAACAAAGAACATTTGCATAATTGTTCGACCTTTGATATGTACATGGACATGCTATCGTTGTTTTGTCAGCCGTATCATTGCGATTGATTCTCAGATTAAACATACGCACACCATGAACATTTCCATTTAATGATTTTGGCAATTTTATTCCACTATCATCGGAAGGCATGGCAACGTGTTTTTGCCTGGGTTTTACGAGGCACTTGAGCAGTTGCGCACACACGCGCTTTCGCACGTCTTGCCCTTTGGTCCATGGAGCAGTGAGCAGGTGGGTTTTCAAGGGGGTGTGTTCCCAAAATGCGTTTCGATCAGTTTTTTTGAAACACCAGCTCACCGCAATCACCCCAAGACTTGACTTCACGCAAAGCGATCTCTCGCCAGAAAAGTGTCAGACGAGTGCAAGAAGGGTTGCTTGCAACCTGGGTTTAATCTATCAGACAGTGAGCGTCGAAAAAAACTTTCAAAATACCTCCTGAGCCACTTGCTCAAAACCGATTCGGGTGGATGAAGGTTAGTAAGGGGCAGTCCCAGCCAGAAATACATGGTTCTGGGTAGACCATTTTACTACCGGTTTTGATCATGACGCTCCTGGGCATGGGAGAAACATGCTTCTGATGATTCGGAACCTGCATGGTAGATAATCCCAATCAAATGGTTAGGCCAAGGAATGCTTGACCGTAACCTCTGAGCCGGGCGCATGGGCTCATGGAGGGCCTGTGGCTCAGTCTCGCTTTGGACAGGGGTCCTGGGCGTCTCTCTCTCTCTTTTTTTGTTTTTGTTTTTTCCTTTTTCTTTTTGTTCCCCCAACTTAACCATTTTTTTTCAGGTCCTCCCAAAAGAGACGCGTGAGTCTTGAAATAATCAGAGTTTGAGGGTTTACTCCTTTGGAAACAAGACTGGTCTCCATTTAAAACATGTTGAGTTTAAGGAAAATCCCGGACCATCTACGAAAGACTTTGCAGGAGAAGGGCCGAGAATCGGGGTTGCATTCTTCAGGACAAGCCTTGATAGGTGGGGTTTGTGTGGAGGGTTCATGGGAAGCCATCCCTAAACCCCCAAGCCACAAATCTCATCGAGCCGCCGACTAAAGGGAAACAACATTTCCTGGCCACAGCCAAGTAGGGCCAGCTAAGCTGAACCTCCCTAAGGTTTCGAAAGGCCGCGCCCATTTTTGGTGTTTCAGCGGCAAGTTTTGCCGACCTGTGTTTTTTTCTGCCCAGTGCGCAGAAACAAAAAAAGAAGAAGCAACGCCAAGCCACCCAGCGAGGAAACATTGAGGAGCTCGTCATGGGTTAGCCAGATTCTGTCCGTGCTCCGATCAGTTTTCTTGGCAGTTTGGAGGGGTTTGTGCCTGGTGCTTGAGGGATTGGAAGCTCCCCAACCGGAGTGAACGTGGACATAGGAGGGGCTCTCTCACATGGCTGGCAACTGAGGCCCAAGGCTGGTACCGGGGTTTGTTTATTTCAAGATGTTTGGCGCAGATATGAAGGCTGTAGCCCTTGAGAGACTCCAGGGAGATCGCGACGCATGTTTTTCAGCCCAGAGAGGTGTGACAGGCTGTGCGTGAGAGTCTCGAGCCTCGGGAGCCTCGTGCCTGAGGCGGAGACACGTTCATCACTGGTGGCGCCCTCAGAAACAGACAGCGCATTCCAAGTTTTCAGTTTTCTCGGCTAGCAGAGTCCGAAATGTCATGGAGGCAGGGTTCTTGCAGGCACAGCGGGTAGCAAGGACCTTCGACCTATGGGATTGTTTCAACCTCCGAAATGGGTGATCGCCACCGTTGGTTTTCCCTTCAAAGCAGCCAATTCAATCAAGGCGCGTCCTGAAAGAAGCGACGCGTCCTAAAGCACGCCAAACATGCTTTGTGTGCAAGATGCGGTCAAGAAGCACCGGAAAAGACGGTTTTCAAATCCATAAGCCACCAAAACAGAGCAATAAAGAGTACCCCAACGCTTGCATTGATCCTGAAAAGTGAGATTTTCATTGGCATCACCACAAAAAACAAAAAAAACATCATTCAGGTGGGTCACTCAACCAAGAAGGGGACACTGAGGTCGTTTAGGTCCCTTGTTTCTTCTGAAAGTGCAGCCTTGGGCTTTGTTTGTTTGCTGTTTAGGTCTCAGGCAGGTTTGTTTGGAAAGCCCCGCAATACCAAGAGGTTGTCGTTGGGAAGGCCGTCGTCCCAGTCCAAGTAAGGTCATATTGCCAGCTGACATCAGCCACAACTGGCTATGAGGGGAGACATTCTCAGATTCTTGCAGGTTTTGGGCAGGCTTGCACACCAGGTGATGACTCATTTGGGTTTCCCTTCAAGGGGTGTGAAGAGCTGGAAGCACGTCAGGATTCATACCCACATGAGCCACTTGCTCAAAACCGATTCGGGTAGATGACGGTTAAGGGACAATCCCCTTGCCATAAATACCTGCGGCCGCAGTCTTGATTCCTTACATAGTTCTGGGTAGACCATTTTAGTGCCGGGTTTTGATTAGACACTAAAACGCCATGGGGGCTGTGTTTTTGCAGGTAAAGTGCCTCGTGTATATAGTTTCATGTATAGTTTTTTCAGATTATACAGATATCGTGGTTACATGAAAGCAGAAAGCCATAAGAAATAACTTATAGAGGTCCCCAAATTGTCAAATACACGTTGTTTGAATAGCTATGGATTCGCAAAGCCGATTCTATTGCAAAGGAAATCCGGTGTAGCATGTTTCTTAATATGAATATTCGTTAATTGAGATCTAATTCAAATTTAGAAATGGTTGGAGTAAATCCAATTTGACGTGAGTTAGAAATTAGGCAGTTGGTAAATCTATTCAGTAGCATTCATAAAGAATGAAATTAGCAGCCCCGAAACTGTTGAATACATGTTCCTGTGTAGCATTTATCTTGAAGTATAGTAATTCTTATTCAAATTCAACTTGAACATAGAAATTAAGATTGCTGTTGTCTATTCAATTTCAGTCAGAAATTGAGTAGACTTTGATGAAGCTATTAAGTCATAAGGACAGAATGTCCCGAAATCGTGTTTTTTGTTTGCTGGCCCTAGCGCTACCATGGTCAGAAAACACTGCAAACACGCCGTTTTGTAGCGTTGTTGGCACTCAATTCACATCTCCACCAACAGCTGCTCTTTCAAATTCAATTAGAATTTGAATAGGGTTTATTTGGGACTCAACAAGGACATACTTGATCAGAGTCCTACTGCGAATTGCGTCTCACATTTAGTCTCTAGACGGCGTGACGAAGATCCTTTCCCAATATAACTTTGCAATTTAATTCGAAATTAAACATATTTTGATTAGGAGTGAACCCAATCACTGATCAGGAATGAATCCAATCACAACTTCTTTGTTTAAACAAATTCGAATTAGACTGATTCTACTTAAAATGCTAATTCTAAGCAACCCCAGGTCTCGAACGAGCAGATGAAGATGATGGGGTTTGCTTTCTTTCTTTGGTTTTCAGCCTCCCCAACCCTAAAAACAAAAAAGAAAAAGCACAAACACAACGCACCAAAAAAAAACATACAGCACACCAAAAGAAACAAAACAAATAACCCCAGGCCTCGAACGGAAACCTCAAAACACCTTGAGACAACCTACAAACAAGATTGCAGACCCTAACCCCTTGGGTCCACCCGCCTTGGGGTCTGCAATATATTTGTGTGTGTGTGTGTGTACATGGCAGGTGCGCTTTGTTTGAAAGCTTGGTTCGCCCATCTACATGTGAACCGAACAATGTCCAGGAAGCATACTTCCCATCGCTGTGTTTTTACTGCCGACTCACATAGAGTTCAACGAGATGGTGGCGAAGACGAACAAACTTGCTGCGCCTTAAAGGTTGCCAGCAAATTCGGAGGCTTGAACAGCGCGCCCTCGTTGTCCGTTCCGGTGGGGTTTGGGCGGATTCCATGGCTGCGTACTACCATGGTTACCTAAGAAACCACAGCGATAAGCGGTGGAAGTTGACATCGCCAAAGTGCGAGGGCTTGGGGTTTTCTTTGTGTGTGTCGGCAACATGCTAGAAACAAGCATGAAAATACTTGAGTCAGCAAGCCATCATTGGAGTTGTTCGCGGGAAGAGGACCGGAGGGGTGCCTGTCCAGAAGAGGCCTCGGTCTACTTGTCTCTTGCCAGTTGCACGTTGCCCATTAGCAGGGGCGCACGGCGTTTGCAACCTACCGTGCGCAACGAAGCTACGGACGCCAGCTCCTGTACCTGCTCGTGGTGCAAAGTCCTCTTGGTCCCCCCCCTTTAATCGTTGTTGGTTGTCGTGGCCCTGTTAAAGTATTAGAGTGAAGCTTGATTACCCAGACTTCGCCATTTCAGGCAGGGAGGTTCGGACCGCGCTGAGGACAGCTTTTTCCATTTTCCATTTGCCATTTACTTTTGAACGACTCGCTAGGAACTGAGGTTTCCTCATTCAATGACTACCTGCACTTCTTCAGATGTGACTTTGAAATAAGCAGTGTGTCATGCTCAACTAAATATCGCAAAAAAGGAAAAAGCTCGCTTCTCCGCCAGTTTGGCCTCCAGCCCGGCTCTCCTTAAAAGAGCCAGGTGGCCCACGGGATGGATCTATCGACCTCTAGCCCGGCGGCCTCTCCTTAAAAGAGTTGGATGGTTACAGGACGGATCTATTGACCTCGCCCGGTTTCCGCCTTTTTTCTCAAAAGAGCATGGATGGGCCACGGGACGGATCTATCACCTCTGCCGCCTCTCCAGTGACCGCCTTTTTCCTAAAAGAGTCCATAGCCCAGGGCCGCGAGACGGATCTATTCACTGGATGGGACGGATCTATTGACCTCTAGCCCGGTGGCGGCCTCTCCCTTAAAAGAGCACAGATGGCCGGATCTTTTCACGATGAGATGGATCTATCGGCCACGGGACGGATCTCTTCACGGGATGGATCTATTCACGGCGCAGTGATCAGCCCACGGGCAGATCTAGAATGCGCCTTGCCACTTGGCACCAAGAGTCTCTTTGACAATCAGCTCCGCCCAGCTGGGGCGGACACAACGAATAGCAAAGGGCGAGGTGGCCCGTCGCAGAATCAACAAAACGCAATGCCCAGAGCTTCACATCAGCGCGGACAAGGTGGTCCACGGCCAGAATCGGCACGTGCCACGCTTGCCACAGTATCGGCACGAAAGCCAGCATTTTTTGTCAAAGAATCCAACCTGTCACGGACCTCAGCATTAAAAAGAAAGTCAGAACGGACACCTTGCCATGTTGGGTCTTGATTGCTTGACACCACGAGTGCTTGAAACGTGGCTGCGTGAATTGGAGACGCTTGATACTTGCAGACTTTTTCACTGGTTGCTTGACTGTTGCAACGATTGTATCGTGAATTGTTGAGGCATTGGAGCCCAGAAATGCAAAACCTTTGGCACCCATGCAACGTTGACATGGTTAACGGCTTCAGCTTTGGGAAGCTTTGATCTTCGACTTGTGGAAACGTTGATGCCTGGTACGGGCTTGCTTTGATATTTTGCTGTGCCACCTTGGAACGTTGAAATGTTGGAAGTGCGTGAAAATCTTGCGTCGAGTTGCTGGAACCTTGGACCATTGAAACGCCCGTTCCTTGACATTGTGTAACTTCCTTGCCTTGCAACATTAAAACGTTGGGCTTGGAAACGGTGACATGGTGCAACTTTGAACCCTATGAAGCGTTGGAAGATTAGGGCCTCGACTTTTCAACCATGTGACGTTGGAGCTCTTGAAGGTTGCAGCGTTGGTGTCCAAAGTGTGTACACTAGCGCACCCATGTCAAGTCCGAACGTCATTTAGTCGTGCTATGCAAAGTTGTGATGCTTGCTTGGTTACAGGCGCACGGCCATGTTGCAGAAACAGCGCTTGCTCCTTTGTGCCCGTAAAACATTGTGATGTTCAGTTGCTGAACCTTGAAACGTTGAAAAGCTTGGGTCCTGCTCCCGTCAAGTTTTTCCCCAATCGAGTTGCGACTTGTTGCGGCGTTTTGCCATTGATACGTTGGCAAATTGAAATGTTGAAGCGTCGAGCCGTAAGACCACTGCAGCGCGCAGCAACCTTGGAACTTTGAAGGATTGCTGTCTTGACGCGTGAAAACTTTCACACACATGGACTGTTGAGACACTTGAAGCTTGGGACGTTGAAACGCTTGTGTCCTTGACAGTGGAAACGTTGCCGGTTTGAGACGTTGAAACATTCATCCGTGAAAACGTTGCCGTGCGTAACCTTGAGGCTTCAAAGGGTTGCAGTCTTGACGGGTGCAAACTTTCACACCTATGGAGTGTTGAGACACTGGAAGCTTGAATCGTTGGAACGGTTGCGTCCTTGACAGTTGAAACGTTGGTGATCTGAAACGTGGAGATTGGCACTGTTGAAGACATTGAGCCGTGAATGAAAACGTTGCGACTTCGCTCACTCGAAACGGTGTGGAAACATTGATGCCAGGATGTCTTGGAGTCACGTCGTGGAAGCTGGCATGCCTTGGAATGTTGAGTCCTTGTCATGGGGACACATTGAAGCGTTGACGTTTGAAACCTTGAGCTGCCGTGATGTCAGCACCTCTGCTTCTTGGAAACAACGTTGGTAGTCATCAGGCAGAGTGCTCACGGAGCAGAAGCCCAAAAAGGTGTAACTTTCTGGCGTCACAGATGTCCAACGGGTTACCGACAATTCCGGATGTAATCACCTGTGCCCAAACCACCTTTTCCTTCGACATGAGGCCACGCAGTTGACACATCGGCGAGTTGCTTGCTCAGCATGAGTTCCAGTGTTGGCACGCGCAACGTTGTCCTTTGCAGTTTCGATTGCTTCCCAGGTGTTCGCAGGACATGCGTTTGGTTGACTGTGCTCATGCTTGCTTGGTGATTTGAGGAAAGGGAATAATGGGACCAAGTTTCTGTTGGACAACGCTTATTTCTGCGTCGGACGGGTCAAGTTCAAGCGAATCCAGAGTGCCTCCACGGTCCCACTTTCGGTCCATGTCCCATCTTCATTTTCCTGCTCTCCTTCACCGGCGGTACGTTGACAACAGGGTCATCATTTGTCTTCCTTCTGCTCTTGACAGTTTTGACGTCCAAACCTTCACGTGGCCCAGTTTCTACAGTGCGCCCATCAGAAAAAGCTGTCTTGGGGTTCAACCTGTCCGTTATTCAACGTGCCATTACGTTTCAGCCTGCCTCGACGCCTCTCCGGTCAGACAAGTCTGCAGGCTATTCACTGCACGCTTCTCCGGCTTTGCTGCCCGTTCGCAACTTGAGGACCTAGTCGCGGTCCACTCCAGGGCTTTGAGCGATGTAGGCCACCCAGTGCAGACTGCAAACCAGATCCTCGAAGAAGCGATTCGGAAGGGTCGACTTCCGCGGAGCATCAGGCGCTCGCAAAGCCACCGTTTCACTTGAACAGCTCGAGTGCAGGCGAGCAAAAAAAATCACCGCCGGTTGCGTGCAATTAGGGCGGCTTCGTGTCGACTGAACCCATTTCAGGAACTGTTGTTTCTCATCAGTGCACACAAACAAAGGAGGTTGATCTTGGCAGAACATCAGTCTAAGGCCCTCCGTCACCTCTGAGCTTCACTTCCTTGTTCGTCCAGACGACACGCCAAGCTGTCGCCCCCCAACTGGGGGGCACGCCTGTGTGTGTGTGCAACATGCTAGAAACAAGCATGAAAACACTTGAGTCAGCACGGCATCGTTGGAGTTGTTCGCGGGAGGAGGACCGGGGTGCCTGTCCAGAAGAGGCGTCGGTCTACTTGTACGTTACCCATTAGCAGGGGCGCACGGCATCTGCAACCTACCGTGCGCAACGAAGCTACGGTTGCAGATGGGAAGGGAACTGGGACGCCCGTGGCGCAAAGTCCTTTTGCTCGGACCGCGCTGAGGACAGTGTTCCATTTTCCATTTTCCATTTGCTTTTGAACGGCTCGCTAGGAACTGAGGTTTCCTCATTCATGACTGCCTGCGCTTCTCCAGATGTGACTTTGAGACAAGCAGTGTGTGTGTGTGTGTGTTTAGTTTTTGTTTTTTTTTCTCCAGTTTGTTTCTCTAGTTTTTTCTCTTTTTTTAAGAAATAATTTAGCACGAGGCTCTTTGATGTTGGTTGTTTTGGGCTTTGTTTGTCTTTTTCGATTTAATGGTTGATTTGGGTGTTCTGCTTTTTTAAATCTATTTTTACTACCTGCAAAAAAACGCAGCCCCCATGGCGTCCGCTTCTGGTTGATTATGACTCACATGTGCCCCTATGATGTCAACACCCGGGGCGGGTTTCAAAACAAACGAGCTTGCGCCCCATTCTATTCAGGGTTCCTTGGAAAGTGTCCCGAACCGCCCGGGGAAATGGAGAAAGAGAACGGGTACTCATCCCTGACATGTTTGGGGAGCGCGATGAGCTTCAAAGATAGACACAGATCCCCCCAACCAAAAGCTCCGACCAATTCTCCGCAACATGGAAACCCAAGCCCGCCAAGAGGTCCCGCCTTTTTTTTTAACATGGAGCCCAGGAAGCCCCTCATTTCTGGAAGAAGCTTCTTTGGACGGGGTCGGTATTTTGACGTGTTTTTTTTGGGTTATCAGAGTCAGTAGCTGGTTGGTTGTTTCCCTTTAGCCCACTTAGGGGGTGACTTTGATGGTAAAATAACGTGGCCAGTTTGACGCACCCCCCAAAAAATGTCGGCCAATTGTACATGGAACCCAAGAAACGCATCATTTGTGGAGCTTTTTTCTTGACACACCCCACGCTTTGGGCAGCAGAGCCGCGTATCCGCCCAAGTGTGCCCTCTGTTTCCATCGGATCGAGGCCGGGGCGCTGCTTTGCTGGATGCGCGGCACTCGAATCGGCTGAAATGGGCGGCATTTGGAGCCGGCAGTCGCTTGGTTTGCTTTGCGGTACGTGCTTGCGTGTTTAGCGACCTTGTTTAGGTTTTGTGTTTTGCTTGTTTGTTTGTTTGCTTTCATGCTTGGTGACTTTTTTGTTTGTTTGTTTGTGCGCTTGCGTGTTTTGCTTTTTGTTTTTGCTCGCTTGCTTGCTTGCTTTTGTTGCCGTGTGTTTCTGTTGTCTTAGCTGAATAGCTTGCTAGCCAGCCAGTGAAGCAGTTAGTTCGCCCGGTGAGTCGGTTGGCAAGAGCTGGGAAGCTCCACCCAAAGGAGGGGCCAGAGCATTTTTGCCGAATCCTGCCATCCACCCCGGTCTTTCTTTATTCTCAGGCTTTCCCGTTCGTCCTGGTCGTCCAGAAAAACTCAACAGCACCCCCCAGGAATCAGTCACCCCTGCTTGATTCAGGGATGTGTGGGCGCGTGTGTGTGTGTGTGTAGATGGAGTCCGGAACTTCTTTGAAGGACAATCATGCTGCATCCGAAAGAAACCCGCGAAATGAACCCACGGAATGGTCACTTAGTTATGAAACTGGTTCCCACAGTGTGCCCTCCATCCAGGGTGCTACTCCGAGGGGAGGTGTCCTTCTTGGTTGCTATGGAGAAAACCTGGTGCAAGATCATCTACCAGAGATATCCATGGATTTCCAACCTAATTGGATACCTCCGATCGTTCCTCGTGTCAGAGCTCTGAGCCGAGCTCAGGCCACCCGGGTGCTGCAGCAGCCCCGGGAGGAGCGCCTCGCCAACCTCGAGCGGTACACGCCGGGAGCCCCAAGACTTGGGGCCCAACGACCACGCGGGGGCGGGGGGGGGGGGGAATGAAGGCACGAGAAGCCCGGTATCAAAAGGGTCTACCTAAAAACCATATGAATGAAGAAGGCGGAGATTCGCAAGGAGTTCTGGCTGGGACTGCCCCTCAACCTTCAGCTACACGGGTTTTGAGTGTGGCTCAATTGGGGCTGTTTGGGGCTGAGGACTCTTTCGAGAACCCGTGTTGAAAATCCGGTCTGAGGGCGCGGAAATCCCAAAATGGGGTCGGGTGGGGTGAATGTGGGTTTGTGTCAAAGCTACTGTAGACGGCACGCAAAACTGTATGCTGGATCATGGGTCCACAAGGATCTCGTTTTCATTCACGGCTTTGGGCTGTTCCCGGGTTAGAGAGAGGTCCTCTCTTCCTGTTGAGTTCACGTACTCCGCATCTGTTTGGGCCGTTTTTAGTGAGCCATCCCCAACATCACACTTTTGATGGTGGTTTCTGGAGTTTTTTCTTACACGGGACCCAAAGATTTTGAGAGCCCACTTCAAGAAGCGCAGGGATTCCCCCCCCCCCCCCCCAAACCCCCCCCCTTTTGGGTCCGTTTAGAGTGTTTCCCAGGTCAGTTTGGGCTTTGGGAGCCCGGCATCGCTCAGGCGCTGCATCACCTGCAAGTTCCGGAGGCGGAAGCCCTCCTCCGAGGCGAATGGGACGTGGTTGGGAAGTGTTGGAAGCGCCGGGGCTCCGCGGAAGGCTAAGCGGGGGGTGTTGGTCCGCCTGTAAGTTTTTTTTGGAAAATTTTTCGTGTTGAGATGTGCTTTCCCAAAATGTGTGAAAAGCAATGAGCTTCTGTAGGTGGCTGGTGAGACTCTATGGGAAAGGCCTGTCTTTTCTGACCTTTCTCGCACGAACAACTAGCCAGACTTTTCCTATGCTTTTTGCTTCTGCCAATCTTCACATGATGCCGTTTAGCAAAATAATATGCTATGGGATGCAAACTGAATAATTTGATAAGATCCTTTTGCATGTTTCCAAAAGTAGGGAAGACTCAAAGGAAAAAACAACACCAAGGGCGCGACCCAAGGGCACTTACATTGAATTGCGGTACTGTGGATGGACGAAGTCCTGCACCACTTTGAAAGCGTGGGAAACCATTGTTTGTTGGCAATGACAGGGGAATCATGTCCTTTCAGGGTTTCTTGGGTGGTGCATGATTTGACCCATCCACAGTGTCCAATCCGCAAAGGTCAGGCTCATATTTTCGATGGAATGAGCAGACCAGAGGGGACGAAACCCGAATTTGCTCCACGCCCATTAGGTGTAGCACTTTTCGACCCTGGCAGGGTTTTCATGGACCTATGATGCATCTTCTTGATACGCCCCTTTCGACGACATCCAACAAGAGGTCCCCAATTCTGGTGAACGTATTTGGCAGTCTAACAATCTAGGGACGAAGCCTGAAGTTTCCCATGTCCATGCCCGCGGCTCAAGTCTGTCACCTCCCAAATCTCGATTTTGTGGGAAGCGAGATGTCAACCAGCCATCGAAACATCCCACATATTCAAACAGGTGTGAACAAATCGACCCTCCGTGGCGAGATAACTGGTAAACTGCCAATTTCGGTGTGTGTCAACAAACCATCTTGCCCAAAATGGGACGAGCTAAAACAGGGGTCCAGGGGTCCAATCAATTCCTGGCTCAAAATTTTGACCCATACCCATTTGAGGCGCAAAAAACAGTCGGTCTTCCCCACATCGACGGCTGGGTGGTTGGTCCCTCAGGAGGCGGACCTGCGGAAGCTGATGCCGGGAGCTCCAGCTGATGGCTGGAGGGTGCGCCTAGGAGGAGGGGGGAGGGAATATATTCCTCCAAATGAGAGCAAATGGCCTGGACTCTGTGGCAAATGGCATGGACTGACCGTGGCTGAGATAAATCTGCCTCATGGAGGGAGGGACCTTTCTGCTTCCTCCCTAGTGATGCAATTTCGAAGTGAGGAGCCCTCTTGGAGCCGCTCGCTCGCTTGCTCGCGCTAAGATGTTTTTGGAGCCTTCATGGAAGCTTTGTGCAAACTAGAACGGGGGGTTCTCTCCTTTCGCTCCGCGCAGACCTGTGTTGGAGTTTGCTTTGAGGGTGCGACGGTGCATGAAAGCCCATGGTGGCAAGGTATATGCAGGAAGGTTAAGCTTTAACCTTCCCCGGTTGAGTGCACCACCCATTTTAGTCTATTTTAGTGGGGATTGGGATGTTCACTGGGGGTACGGGGTTTTGACCCATGGCCATTTCAGCGCTGCTTCCCGCAGTGTGTCCGAAGAAACCCTCTAAACGGGGCGTCTTTTCCCGGAAGGGAGGTTACAGATGGTAGCTGTTTGGGAATTCCATGTTGATGTTGAGCTTGGACACTTGGGGGTGTCTTTTTTTGTGGGTTGGTTTAAAGGCAAACAAAAGGAAACCACTCATTTTGGGGGTACCCCTATTGTGAGACAAGCCCATATGGATCTACTTCCTGTTAAGTTAGGAATTCCCATTCGGCGGACCCGCATCGAGGTTTGCCTTCCAAGGTTTTCGGGGAGCATTTCGGCGAGCGGCTTGTTGTGTACAGGGTTTTTGGATGATTAAACCATGGGCAGGTAGAGGATCCCGACTACCACTATAGCAGGTCACCAGCAATTTCCTATGGGTTTTTGAAGGGTGGGTCTCTTGGTTGCGTAGTCAGGGAAAATGGGCCCACTGGCGGGTAGCTGTTGCCCAGCTCTTGTCTTTCCCTTCGGCCCTTCGGTCTCCGAGCGCTGAGGCCAGATAGCTTGGCAAGAGATCCGGACGTTTGGGAGTACACCTCGTGTCCCTTGGCAAATTGGGCGAGTTGCCTTTGCGTCGGAACCGCCCTGAAAAGTGATTGGACGTGGACGCTGACGCAGGATTTTGAAATTTTTCTGGTCAAACATTTCGGGGGTCTTGGGCCATTGGTTTGGTTTTCCATGGTTTCTATCCGCAAGTGCAACGTGAGATCGGAGGATTCACGGGAGAGTTAGCCTGGTGGATTGGCCGGGGAGTTATTTTTTTCCCTCTTGTTTTTTTTTTCTTCTCCCGGACTTCTTGGCCCATTTAAGGGACACCCCCCATCGAAATCAACAAGTTTTGCGTCCGTTCGCAGGAGACACGTATGGGTTCCAACCCATCGCTTCAGCCTAGCCCATGGGAAAAGGACTAAATACCTGGGTTTTGCGACCGTTTGGTGGGATGATTCCCATGGGATGATTCGAAAGACCTGTTTTAACCGGTTCCAAGGGTAAGAGATTGGTTCACGGGTCAGTCGGTGAGACAGACTCCACTGAGCCACTCGAGCGAGTCCAACCAGAACTTTTCGAGTCGGGATGGTGTCCCATTGGGAGATTCCATTGGATCTGAAGATCTGAAGGGATGCCAAGAAAGGTCCATTTCCTATTTTTGGAAAGCCCACTCCTTTTTTGCTTTTGCGCCAAAAAAGCTGGCTGGTTTTCTCAGGGAGGTGAGGGAATGACCCTCATGAACCATCTCTGTTTATGTGAAACGGAATCCCCAAACGGTTCATTCCCAAACCCTGGGTCATTCCCTACTGATCACCAGTCAGAAAACGGGCGAAACTTCGTGGCGCTCGGCGCGTTTGCTTCAGGCGCCATCTGCCTCTGCGACTTTGCGGACGGCGAAGAGCTGCGGAGGGCGTCCTTCGGCTCGGAGGAAAGCGCTGTGGCGGTGGGAATGCCCGTCTTGGTGCCCGAAACAGTGCCAGTGAACCAACCGCATGCAGCCGATCCAAAAAGCAAATTTGTGATTACAAGGTCTTTTTCTTCTTGTGACATGTAGGGCATTCACTGTGTTTCTAGAACATGTGGATTTCCATTGGACCTTGCCTCCAAGTGGATGATGGACCACTCAGACGGTCCGAGCCAAACTGTCTCCCCAGAGGCCGCCAAGAGGGATGCCCCCAATTTGAGGAAGGGGGGGATCCTCCTTCCTTTCGGCACCAAACCAAAAGGCTAGCAGAAGATATGAAAACGCCAAAGCAGCGCCTGAAAAATCAAAGGCCAAAGGCAGAACACATTCGCTCCCTTCACACCCAAAAGCAAAAGCAACGCTGTTGGGAGGCAAAAGCGCTGGAGATCTACTGCCAGTGTAGGGGTACTAATTCGATGCGCTGGCATCGAGGCTCCCTTCACACAGACCCCCAAAAGCAAAAGGCAACGCTGTTGGGAGGCAAACGCGCTGGAGGTCTACGGCCAGTGTAGGGGCACTAACAGTCACCAACTCGACGCGATCGCGATCGAGGTCCTGTCCTGGCGGCCATGCATTCCACCCCAAGCGCCTCGGAGTGCATGGGTGTCCTCTTTGGTTGTTTTGGTGGGAAAATAGATGGCGATTCCTGGTTTAGCGGTGGTGCAAGATCATCTGCCAGGGATATCCATCTATTTCCCCGAAAAGGACACCTATCTCGGAGTGACTTTGCTTTCTGTCATCTTTTCGAGGGGCCCTTCGATTCGCTGGCCAAAGGCGAATCGACCTTTTTACCTTTTGGTGTCCCTGATGTTCATTTTGGTCAAGGTTCCACCCGTTTACTGGGTCCCTCAGGGGGCAACTGAGCTAGAGGCGCCCTCTTTTTGGCATCAATATCCGCTGGAGGTTGGGGAAAGATCTTTAGAGAGCAAAGGAGTAGTCCTTGGGTGGAGAAGTGGTGGGACTTAGAGGCTTGGCTCGGGATAAATCCTTCCCAGGAATAGCCGCTTAGCTTGTTGGTAAGCCAATTGGAAACTTTGCGATGTGAAAAACACACACACACACACACACACACACACACACACACACACACACACACACACACACACACACACACACACACACACACACACACACACACACACACACACACACACACACACACACACACACACACACACACACACACACACACACACACACACACACACACACACACACACACACACACACACACACACACACACACACACACACACACACACACACACACACACACACACACACACACACACACACACACACACACACACACACACACACACACACACACACACACACACACACACACACACACACACACACACACACACACACACACACACACACACACACACACACACACACACACACACACACACACACACACACACACACACACACACACACACACACACACACACACACACACACACACACACACACACACACACACACACACACACACACACACACACACACACACACACACACACACACACACACACACACACACACACACACACACACACACACACACACACACACACACACACACACACACACACACACACACACACACACACACACACACACACACACACACACACACACACACACACACACACACACACACACACACACACACACACACACACACACACACACACACACACACACACACACACACACACACACACACACACACACACACACACACACACACACACACACACACACACACACACACACACACACACACCCACACACACCCACCCCACACACACCCGCACACCCGCACACCCGCACACCCGACACCCGCACACCAGACACACCCACCCAGACACAGCACACCGTGCACACCCGCACCCGTACACACCCGCACACCCACACCGCACACCCGCACACCCGCACACCCGCACACCCGCACACCCGCACACCGCACACCCGCACACCCGCACACCTCCGCACACCTCAGCACACACCGCACCCCACCCGCGCACCCGCACACCTTCACACCGCACCTGCACACCCGCACACCTGCACCCCCACCCAGACGCCCCCCGCGCCAGGCGCGCCGGGGCGCGCTTTCGGCTTCCGCCCCCGGGCCCGCATGCTTCGCGGGCTCAGACCTCGTTGAGCACCCGCACCGCCGCGACCCGACGCCCTTATCGCATATACCGCCTCAGCCCTACAGCTTCGCGGCTTCACGGCTTCTCATACGCTTCATAGCCTCCGGGCGCCCGGCGGCCCCGGCGCGCATATATTTATATATATTATATCCGTCCGGCGCGCCATATTATATATTATATATTATAATAATTATTATTAATTATATACATATATATACTCATTACGCATACTATTACATATATATATTTATATTTCATATTACTATTATTACTTCATATTATTATTATTATATTACTATATTTATTAATAATATATTATATATTATATTATATTATTATATATTTATATTACTATTATTATATTATAATTATTATTATATATTATTTCATATTAATTATTACTATATTTATATAATGGCGGCGTGGCATATAATTATATACTATATATTTATATATTTATGTATTTAATATACTATATATTCATATATATATATACATATTATATTAATTATATATTTATATATTTAACTATTATATATTATTATTATATTATATTATAATATACTATTATTAATTATATACTATTTATATATATATATATATACGCCCTATTATTACTTATATATATTTATATATATTAATATATTACTTATATTTATATATTTTTAACACTATATACCATATTATTATCTATTATTACGCGCGCGCGCGCATATTATACTTCACATACTTCCCCCCACCGCCCCGCCCCGCCCCCGCCCCGCCCCCGCGCCCGCGCCCGCGCCCGCCCCGCGCCGCGCCGCGCCCGCGCCCGCGCCCGCGCCCGGCGCCCGCGCCTTCATACCCGCGCCCGCGCCCCAATTATATTTATTATATACCCGGCGCCTATATTATATACCCGCGCCCGCCGCCATCGCCATTACCGCGCCGCGCCCGCATTATATTTATATTATATTATATACCCAATATTATTTTCATATATGGCGCGCCGCGCCGCGCCCGCGCCATTGTGGCCGCTACCATACTATATTATATTATTTATATATACTCATATTATATTTGCCCATGCGCTGTCCGCGCCCGCGGCCCACGCCCACGCCGCGCCAGCGCCGCGCCCGCTTTCCGGGCCCGCGCCGGGCCCGCGCGCGCCCGCGCCGGCGCTGCGCCGGCCCGCGCCGCGCCGGCCCGCGCCGCGCCGCCCCGCCCGGCGCTATACGCGCGCTCAGCGCAGCGCCGCGCCCGCGCCGCGCCAGCATGGCGCACGCGCATCGCGCACGCGCAACGCAGACGCGTCGTGACGCGCACGCAAGCGCAAGACGCAAGACGCAAGCGCCGCGCCGCGCACGCGCACGCGCGGCGCACGCGCCGCGCACGCCGCGCACGCGCCGCGCGCACGCGCACGCCACGCGCCACGCCACGCGCACGGCCACGCCACGCCACGCCGCGCCCGCGCGGCCACGCCTCGCCAGCCCGCCGCGCCACGCCCCGCGCCACGCCACGCGCCACGCCAAGCTGCCACGCGCCAGCTCATGGCGCAAGCCTCATAGGTCGACGTTGGCCATAATAAGGCTTACATTACACATATATATATTATATAATGTAGCGCCCGCGCACGCGCACGCGCACGCACATCTTGGCTCATCGTCCAGGATCGTGCTCGGTAATGTAGTCCCCAGCATTGTACCCTACTGGGAAAAACCTGGTCCGGTTGGACAATGTGCACTGCTTCTGGTAGAAGCAGTTCGACATTCTCGTTGCCTGATGGGGTTTGCGTCGCTTGGGTAGCCTTCGATTTGTTTTGGGTCGTGTTGAACTTGCAGCAGCTTGAAGGTCGAAGCAAACACCGGCCACGAGCATTAGGACCTCCAAAAATGAGTTCCGCCGCGTAAACCTAGAGCTCAAACAGCAACCGACACAGAATCAGACCTTTGACGGCAGGAAGACCAATGCTGGCCTACCGGAACCCGGTCCAAGAATGCAACACTGCTTTGGGGTCCCACCATGTGGTTTCTCAAAATGGGAATCGGTGCCCAAAAGTGGTTGGCGTCCAACGAGTTTCAAGAGATCTGAAATCCATGCTGGCTCCCCAAAGTCCCCCCCCCCCCCCAAATCTACCCCCCCTATGTTGATGTTTTGACCCCCACAATTTGCCCTAAGGCGGTGTGCCCCAGGAGATGGCAATCAGAAACCCCATTCTCGGCCAGGTAGTATGCATACCATATCGGGGTACATGACAGTCCTTGACGTTTGATGTCTCGTGGCAGCTTCCTGAGGACGAGCCTTACAGCGCAAGTCCTGTGGCAGTCTTTTGATTGGTGCATAGGTCCCCTACACATTGCGAAGCTGGAAGTCTTTCTATCCACATCACTTCTTTAACTCCCAGATTGGAGTTACTCTCCCCGTGAAGAATCTCACCTTGGGGTTGGACCCTTGCTTGGGGTTCTATTCTATTTCTGGTGGGGGGGGCGGGTAGGGTTTGGACCGCTGTTTAGGGGTTCTATTCTATTTCTTTTGGGCGGGGGGAAGGGTTTGGACCGCTGTTTAGGGGTTCTATTCTATTTTTCTTGGGGGGGGGAAGGGTTTGGACCGCTGTTTAGGGGTTCTATTCTATTTTTCTTGGGGGGGGGGGGAAGGGTTTGGACCGCTGTTTAGGGGTTCATTCTATTTCTGTTGGGGGGGGGGGGAAGGGTTTTGGGATGCCCGCAGGCTGCAGGTCTCCAGGTCGCCTCCAGGTCGCTCGCTCGCTCGCTCCGGCGCCCAAGGTGCCTTCGCGGGTGGATCGAGCGCTCCAAGGACCCGGGCATCGGGGTTCGCCCGGCTCAGACACCCGCCTTTTAAGGGCCGTCCTGGCGTGTCAGTGGTTCAAACACCACCTTTTTTTGGGCCATTGAGTTGCGTTTTGGGGTTTTAAGAGCAAGGAACCGCATGTTGGCTGCAAATAAGTTGCCTTCTCGGCTCCGCCCAATCTATCGCAAGCCAAGGGATGTCAATTTCGGACAAACTCGCAGGTCTTCTCCTCCTTTTTGTACCTGGGAATCGATTCATTTTTGTTTGAGGGTCCTCCAAACTCCGACATGAAAGCCAGCAAGTTCACGCTTCCAATGGGACGTTTTGGATCGTCAGCTTGTGACCAAGCACCAAAACTGCTCCTTGGACTTTGATCTCGGAACGAAGCTATGCTCGAAGCGAGATGTTGAGCACACAAGACATTGGGAGGACCGTCACGTTTGGCTTGTGTACGGAAGTCCAAAGGCAGGCCGAACAAGCGCGCAGGTTGAGGGGATACCAAAGGCCACTTGTCGAGCATTGAGAAGTCCACGTAGCTTCCCAAAGAACGGCCAAAGACATTGCTTTCTTGTGGCTGTCCTTATAATGGATCTGCGTGTTCGGCTGCCCTACGCATGTCGGTGTGTCATATCAGAGACCCAAGTGGATAGTTGTTTTGTTGGCTCTATTTGGGAAGGATTAACTTCTGCGCTGGTTTCCAAGCGCTTCAGGCTTTGGTTTTTACGTGGCCAGCTTCTCCGTACGACTTGCGGCTTCCGATTACAGCTGGGGGAAAGCAGGCGGGGATCTACTTGCACCCTGATGTAGCTACTTGCACCCTGATGTACTTCTACTGCACTTTTTTTTGGGTTTTCTGCACAAAAGCAATCTCTCACCAGGAAAGAACCACAGATTCCGTACACCTTGTCTTCCTTTTTCAACCCGTGCCCATGGAGCTCCGGTTGCACCAGCCTCTTGAAAGGAGACCTGTCCGGTGTGCCGGTGCACGGGCCGCGGTCTCAAGAGGTGCAAGCAAGTCGTGGCGGATTGGGTCTGGGCAAAACGGCCTCACGGGGGTTGCGGCCTTTGTTGCCCAGTGGATTCCGCCCTTTGTCCCTGTTTTTTTGGGAAGGGTTCCCCCAAAAAAGGAACTCAAGAGAAAAAAGGATGCCCCTTTTTCCCATGGCAACTGGGCGTTTGAGCGGCGTCACCCATGAAGGCGTCTGTTTGAAGGGGATCCATTTCTTCCGCGGTTGGGCAAAGCAATGGAAGCTGGGAAGTGCATGCTTCCAGGGTGCAGGGCGATTTCGTGGCGGCCTGCGTGCCGTCTTTCCTGCGCAGTGGCGCATGCCACTTGCTTGGTTTGGTTCCTTTGTCGCAATAGTCACCGCGACAGATTGGTGCTTTCCGTTGGCGCAACGGTGGAAGGTTGCAGCAAACATGTTTGTGCTCACACACCAGATGAGTGGAATCCGAGCGGCATCACTCCTCCAATCCATGTGGAGATGAGGTTGCTTAGCTACGCGCACAAGACGAGCAGCGTACGTGAAGACGAGCAGCGTCCCTCGAGTAGGGAAAACAGATATGGGTATGGGTCAAAAATATGTACCCAAAAATCCCAAAATGGGAACCCTGGTAAATGGAAGCATGGATTGGTGGTTTAAAATTTTGACCCACAGCTATGCCAAATACTTTTCGGCACTTCCGGAGATCTCGGTCCTAGTTTTAGAGCTGAAAGATCGATCGAGGGGTTGGTGAATTGCCCTTTCAACTAACATGGCACCTCACAGAGGGTCCCTTCAGGAGCAAATTGATCTTCCAGGTACCCTCCAACAGGTGCTATGTTAGTGGGAGAGAGGGTATAGCAATTTGCCCAGATAGTGTCCGCTTGGGACTTGTCTCATCTTCTGGGTTCGAAGAGTTCCTGTTTTCTTTCCGAGGATTCAAAGTTTGTTGGATTAAATGTTGTGTTCCTGGCTTTTGTGGAGGGTTAGTGGGAAACCGGAACACCTTCAACCAGAAATCCAACACCACCAACCTTTGATGGCTATTTGGTGGGATCTTCGGACTTGAACTTGGGAACTGATTTTCCATCGGCCCCACACACAGTTCACTTTTTGGCGGAGGGGTCGTTACTTTTCACCAAGGATGTGTTGTTTTCGTTTTGAGGGGAGGTGTTGATTGGAGTGGTTGACCCCATCTACCCTCTAGTACCCTCCAGCACCCGTTTGGTTGAAGCACATGGAGGGAAGACTCCAAGTTCGTTGCTGAAGCTTTTGATGCCCCCCCGCCAAAAAAAACAACAACACAACAACACCGAAGCTTCCTGGCTGAGGCTTTTGATGCCAACCGAAGCAGAAACCGCAGCGATGTCACTGAGGCGACCGAAAGGCCGCTGGCGCACGCTTCAGCGCGCGGCCGCCCGGGTTCTGGGGACGTCTGGTCGGTGGGGTTTGGAAGGGACGGTGCGTCCTCTGGTGGTTTCCTGTTTTTTTGGGCGTGGGGGGTGGGGCTTGGGATGGTTTTTTGCTTGAAGCACGTTATGGTCTAGTGGTTTCACAAGCAACCCGTTCGGGATGAAAAAAAGTCACGAGAGACAAAGTTGAGCCCCCTTACTCCTGCAGAATGGTTCTGAGAAACCTTCTCAATGGGCTCTGCATTCCTTTCCCGGGGGGTGGGGCATGGGTGCTTTGCTTGTTTGCGTAGAGAAGGCGAGTTAGGGTTTTTGCAACTCATCGCCGATGTTCCACATGAGATCTGTTGATTTATTGGGGGATGGTCCCAACTGAACCCTCATGCGGGCTGGTTTTTAGCACCTCGTCTTTTGGTATCTTCCAAGGTAGGGGTTCTTCCACAGTGACCTGATTGTTTTGGGACTCAGATTGAAGTTCTAGTTTGTGATTGGAAGGGGGGGAATATTGGAACAAACGGAGTGGGGCTTGGGCGATGGGGGACTTCACAACAAAACCATTGCGGGAACGGCGGAAACCATGGTTCTGGCAAGCACACAACACGTGTTTGAACACCTAACCCCTGACAGCCAGAAAGTTGTCCTTTTTCTGTTCACTGTCCTGGCACCGGCTGTTAAGAAGGACTCCCAAGGCGACAGAGCACAGGCAAAGAACAAACAACAAGGAATCACAAACCGGTAGCGACAACTAGCCCCGATTCCTTCATCTCCGGCGCCATGTGCCAAGATCCAGGTGCATAGGTGTCCTTTTTGGTTGTTTTGCTCGAAAGATAGATGGCGACTCCTGGAGAAAACCTGGTGGTGCAAGATCATCTACCAGGGATATCCATCGATTTCCAACCTAAAAGGGCACCTATGTCCAGGTGTATGTTTTTTGCCCAGAGAGGCGGACGCGCTGGCGGAGTTTGTTACCCGGCGCATGCGGAGCACTAAGGCGCCCGTTTTTGGTTGGGCCATGGTCGTGGAAAGTTGGATTTTAGGTCAGGGTCGTGTTTTTGGTGGTTTAGATTTGTGGTTTGGAGATTTGAACCCCTGGTTCTTGTAGGTTCTTGAAGGGGGACATGGGAAGCCACCTCTAGACCATTTTTAAAGCAGGGGGAAACTGAATTGGTGCCAAATTCTATGATGCGGTTGATGGGAAAAATCCACTTCACACCAGTTGATAGGTGATTTTCCCCGGTCATGGTGCTTTATCCATACCAACTGGTGAAGGATCTTGTCCTTGTTCGACGTGAGACACCTTGCAGGTTTTCTAAACCCTGGCTCTTGGCATGTTTCTTCGGTTTTTGGCGTTGTCTTTTTCGTTGGGTGCTTGGGAGTTTGGGGGTCCAAAACGCTCACCTTGTGTTGGGCTTTGATGTTTGTGAGGCGTTGGGAAAAGTGATTCCTCGTTTCAAATGCGTGTGTTTTCTTGCAGGCTTCCTCGTAGCCCCGTTCAACAGCATCCAGACGTTTCCCAAGTTTTGGACAACCAACCCAAGACCCGGTACCCTCAAAAAAGACAGACCCAAGTTGGTGTTGCAGGACTCCGCTTGGACGACTGTCCCAGTGAAGAAGCGGTGCATAAGCCATACGGCCCGTCCTGTTTGGGATGGGGCCAGGGTTGTAGCCAGGGCTGTTTCGGCGTATTTCCATAATTTTCTACGGGCTGTTGCGAACCCGTACCTACGGGTGAGACGTACTTGCCACTCTCTGGGTCTTGGATCGGGCAGCAGAAGGCCTGCGGCACGGCAGCTCGGCCAGCGGGTTTTCGGTGTGTTTGGACACAACATTTGTTTCCGTCGAAGGACCAAAGTGCAGGCCCTTTTCCGTGCCCCAACCAGATCACACACAAGATATTTACAGCATAGGTTTGTATCAGGGGTATCTGATGGAGTAAATATATATATATATATATATATATATATATAATATATATATATATATTATATATATATATAATATATATATATATATATATATATTATATATATATATATTATATATATATATACACATATACATACACATATTTAGGGCCACTCCAGGACGAGCTCGTTTTCGCTGCGTCGGACAACTTGCCAGCGCCATCCAGCGATCGAGCGGATCCAAATGGTGCGTTTCGGGTCGGCAACTTCGCGCAAGTCAGTTTCCGGGATCGCAGAGACGGCCGTGTCTACGCACTGAAAGCAATACACAAGGGCCTTCTCGGCCATCTCGAACATGGCCTGAAGTTCCTCATTCGGAACATGCAACGAGATGAAGCGGGGCCGGAGATGGAGCCGTCAGGTGGTTTTCAAGCTTGCTTGGAAAACTCGGTTTCGCATGTGGGGCTTCGAGGGATGCCTTTCTTTCTCAGATTCCTGACAAGTTATGCTTCAAGCAATTGGTTTGCTCCCCAAATTTGCAGATGTCAGTGAGAGTTGGGGCATGTGGGTTTCTCTTTGGAGCACCTTCTCTCGACATCTTGTAGCATGGTGTGCAATCGCAGTCCCAGATCTTAGAAACGTCACCTTGAGAGACGTCCTCACAGGTGATCCTTACCGGAGGTTTCATGGGGCCGGCTTTCGAAGCGAAGGGACATCCGAAGCGGTAGGAGGTCGTGGCTGAGTTGGGTGACGTGGAACAAAGGGGCCCGAAAATCCCTCATGTAAACGAAGGTTATTCTAGGCATTTGTGGCTCAAAATTACAGAGTCAGGGTTATGCAGGTTTTGGCCCTTGTTTCCATTTACCAAGGGACCATTTTAGGTGCCATTTTTGAGCCACAGCCATTCCCCATTGTCTTCAGATGTCCTTTTCTTCAAATGGTGGGTCGCACGGCCTACGCACACCCGTGTTATCTTTGGAACCCGTCTGAGGGAGTTTCTCCTGGGATTTGAATCTACGATCCGACCCTTGTAGGGTCGTATTTGAGAGAACCCGCCTGTTCGCTCGCTGGATTTGGTCTTGGGCTGAGTCGTCCTTCAGGTGGACTTTACGGTCTCCAAGGAAAATCATCAGAGAGCCGAGGAGGCGGGAAGAGGACGTTCAACCGCGTGGTCTTTTTCTTCTTTCTTTTTTTTGGGGGGTGGGGCCCGGCTTGGATGAGCTTCATGGTTTCTCAAAAAACACCAAGAAAAGGAGGCCTCTTTTTGGAACCCTGGACCCTGCACCCCTTGTTCGTTTTGTGTCTTTGTTTGGAGGGTTGTTTCGTTAAGTTTTTTCTTCTTCTTTTTTTTGGCTTCTCGGCTTCTGCTTCTTGGTTGGCTTCTTGGCTTTTTGGCTTTTTGGCTTCTTGGCATTTCGGCCTCTTGTTGGTTTACGCGGCTTTGGTGGCTTTTTGGCTTTGGCTTTTCGCATCCTCTGCATTCCCAGTTCCTCTCCGGCGGCTTTTTGGCTTTTGCACCCCTTTCATTGGTTTTTGGCCTTGGATTCCCGCATCTCCGGCAAGTGTTCTTTAAGTTGTTTTTGTATGTATGCATGTATGTATGCACTTCGAACATCATAGGGGGGGCTGCCGCCCCCCCCAACCCCCCCTGGGTACTTTTTATATTCTATCGCACCCTTTCTTGAAGCATTGCACCCCGAATTGAATCATCAGCTTCTCGAACATCATGGGGTGGCTGCCTCCCCCCCAACCCCCCCTCTACTTTCTTAGACTGCTTACAGAGATTTAATTGCGCCCCTATTTGAATCATTGCTTTCTTGAACATCATGGGCGGGCTGCTCCCCGCTAACCCCCGCGCCACTTTATTTATTTTTTCTTCAGAGATTTAATTGCTCCCCTATTTGAATCATCACTTCTTCGAACATCATGGGGTGGGCTGCTGCCCCCCCCCCAACCCCTCCCGCTACTTTTTAGATGTTGTACAGGACATGCGGGGGGGGAAGTTGAAAACGCTGCTGGGGATGTTGACAGGCATGTAAAATATGTGAAATTTGGGAGAAAATACTCTAAAATGCGACATGTTGCTGTCCAATACAAAACAAACGGAAGAAACAAAAAAAAACATCCCGAAAAAACACGGGGGAGAAAAACACCCAAAAAACATCCAAACATAAATCCGCACCCTTTGTGTTTTGTTGGTTTCCTTGTAATACCTTTACTTTAGAGGTTAGCATTTCAGGAAGCGTCTACCTGACGTAATGTATCCAGTATGGTACGCATTTTTGGATATAGATGTTTGCGTACGCATGTTTGCGTACGCATTATGGTGCGTGAAATGTCGAGAGGCAGGCTCCAATGTGCCAGCCAACGCGGCGATGGACCCAACAAATGGCAGCTTTCCTTTTGCCTTACCTTGAAAACCAGGCAAGCAGGGGGTACTCTTCAAAAAGCAACAAACAACGCAAAAAGCAGGCGGCCTGCAACCACAAGGCTCGGATTTCAAGGGAAGTTTCGCCTTTTCTTCTTTTTGCGAATCTCGCGCTGGCGTGGGCAGGTGATGGAGAAACTGCCGTTGCCGATGGTTTGCCTCAAGCCAGCGGCGGGGAGGGCAGGGGGTGGTTGGGTGGGTGGGTGGGTGGGTGGGTGGTTGGGTGGGTGGTTGGGTGGTTGGGGGTAGATGCTGGTCGCGGCAACTTGAGAGAACTATGTTGGACACCCCCTTTCGTTTGGGTTGAATCAGAAGCCATGGGAAACCAACCGTTTTGGGTACGTGGCAAAACAGAAAAAAAAACCTGATTGTGGTGGTTTTTCTTCTGGTTTCCCTTCAAACCCTTGTGCAAAAAAGATAGCCTTGGGATGACCTCCAGGCTCAGTCTAGCCAGAAGGAACTGGTCTCTTTGGGGTTCTTCAGGAGGGCTTCCCTGGGCTGAAAAAAGGACACGGTCTATGTTGCGTCCAGGGGAAGAAGGCCAAACAAAGGCCAGTTCGGCCAGTTCGCCGAAACAAGGCCAAATGGGCCCAGGGCTCCTTAAAAGATACATTTTGCCCATTTGAAACATGGCTTTTTCCACCAAAATAAAGGGACACCACCATTTACAAGGCAATGTTCAGGTGTATAATGTAAGGATTAATGGGTGTGACTTTTTGTCGGGGACCCCCCCGAAAATTGTGGGTTTCCTGTTGGTTTAACCCATCAAAAAGGGTAGCAACAAAGCCTCAATAGTTGGGAGGGCAGGTTTTTGGGGAAAGTTCCTTGACATATTTTGAGGGGAGCGGACGAGTGTTGGGAAGCCTTTTGAGTCTCGTTGTTTTCCGGGTTTCGGTTTCGCCAGACTAAACCATCCACGACTGAGCGGTGCGCCCTTGCTCTTCGGAAACGTGTCTGTTTGGAAAAGGACTGTCCCCCTATGTTGGCAGCAAAATATTGAACCTCCGGTCCATGGCCTATGGATTATTTTGCCAGTCACGCTACCCACAAATGACGTGTGGGAAGGAACACATTGAAGGATTTTCTTGGTCAGCGGGACCGAATCGCCCAAGTTCTGCCAGGAGGAGGAGAAAGAAGATCCTCCAGCCGCGATCCCAGGGTTTTGAAGTTCTAGCGGCTGAGGTCCTCGCTGCTTCAATGACTGAGCCATACTTTAGCGCGGGGAGTCGTAGGAAGCTCAGCATTCATGCTGCTTTACGGGTTCCTACGAGTCACCAAGAAATCACCATAAGTTACCAGGGAAGTTAGGTGAGGGGTCCAAGGGGAAGGACAACTCGAGCGTTGCCTGAAGTAGGAATTGGACCCCACAATGCAGTGCTCTTCCTTATTTGCTGGATTCCTGATATTTCATATCTTCGGAACGTCATACTGCGGATGGACGAAATCCTGCACCACTGAAACCATGGGAAACCATGATTTGTTAGTATATACAGGATAATCATCATTCCCGGGTTTCTTAGGTGGTGCAGGATCTTGTCCATCCACAGTATTCGCAGGTTGGGGATTTTGCGAAAGGGCGGTGGTTGGGAAGCAAGTGATGGACTCACCAAATTTCTAGCGGGGGAATGAGTCCACTCATATCCCATGTTTGCCACCAAACCTGGGTGGTTTTCCTGAGAGTGTTGATTTCAAATCCCAGGGATAGTCGCCCCAAAAAGGAGAGACATACCCCAACAGGGTACCGAACTGAGTAAAGAACTACCAATCCAAACCGGTTCTCCCTTTCAAAGGTCAGACACCTAAAAAAACAAACAAACCAAAAACAAACAGAGAAAAAACACAGCGTTGACCAAAAAGATAAGTACGGACACCCAAGTCTTTGTTACACGGTTTGAGGTAGACATATGTAATGCCACTTACTTTCTACAATATGTGGTTTACAACCCCAGTTGATTAGAGTCCTGAGTGGGTTGCATGCAATTCTCTTCGTCTGCATTGCGGTTTGTGCCCCCACCCCCTGCGCAACATCCCGCCCATTTTTCAGGGCTTTTCTGCCATATGGGGAGTCGCTACTTTAGTCAACAGCCCTTGACCCACTCTTATTCCTGGCCCAAATAAGGCCTAAGCACACCGATTTGACCAGACACTAGCCCTACACCAACCCGAAGCTATAGACCAAAACAAGATCAATGCCAAACCAACCTGAACCCTGAACAAAGCCAACCACTGTGCCGACAACCCATAATTCTGTACCTCAAAGTTGCCATTCGTCAGCCAAAACCAACTGCAAGCCAGCGACCGTGACCCCTCCCTGTCTCAGGCCCCGCTGCCGGAACCGGCGCGCGGGCTCAGAGAAGTCGAGATTTCAGATCCACCAAAACAGCGCCATGCCCTTTTGGTAAATCATGTGGGCGGCTCGTCGTTTTCTTTTTTGGAGGCCCATGTTGTCTTTTTTTGAGGCCCATGTTTTCTTTTCTTTTTGAGGCCCATGTCTTTTTTGTTTGTTTGTTTTTTTTTTTTTTTTCAACAGGGACGTCTGTCTGGGCAAACCGAATCCATTTCCTACGTTCCGGTTTCTATCAAAGGACAGGCCATGTCTCTTTTTTGGTTTGTCTCAAATCAGGAATCGGAGCCTCAAAAATGGTGGTGCTTTCGTCCACCAAGAAAAGGACAGTCCAAAACGAGTACCATCAGAGAAAGACACACCCGTTTGAGTGGGTTTCAGACTGCAACAGGAACCTTGAAGATGCCACTTCCAGTTTCACCGGTGACTATGGTTCCTTTGGAGAACCTGGGGGCTGGCGGGGTCTTTTTTTTTGCGTGTCTATGTGACTGACTCTCTCACTCTCTCTCTCTCGCTCTCTGTCTCTCTCTCTCTCTCTCTCTCTCTCTCTCTCTCTCTCTCTCTCTCTCTCTCTCTCTTTTCTTCGCTGATTTTAGTGTTTGATCTGGCGGCCTTGCGCCTGCGGCTGGGATAGACCAAGAGCGCTGAGCGCAAGGGAGGGACAGCAGCAACTTTTCCCTGGAGAAACCAAGTATTTTTTTGTGCCTCATAATGTCATATGGCCGCAGACTGCACACTGGAATGGTCAGCCTCGGACACACACCTTGCATGTCCCAAGCATACTTTTCACCCGTTGCTTCTTTTAGCATGCGACCCGAAACAAGCCTTGAAATTGACCCTCTGACCAGAAAGCGGCCTCAAAACTTGCTGGCTCTGGGGTTTTGGGATGAACCAACATGTGGATGGATGGTTCATAGAGTTCCCGAAATGCCCAGCACCGTTGATGTTCTGAGAACCAGTAGGTTTAGACGAGCCCAAGCCAGTGGACTTTACTTACTCGTTTGGGATCCATTTTACAGGCGTTCCGAGCCATTTCCCTTTAAAGGCAAGCTGCAAAAGTGGCGATCGTTTCAAGGGACACTACCCAGCAAATTGATCAACTTTCGTTTCGGGGATGTCCGGTGATTTCTGTTTTAGTGGCAAGCCACATGATTTTAGCTCACCCAGCCAGTGGACACACTGTACACATTTTTCCTTGGTGGCTCTCCGTTTATTTTTGTGGTGGCCCAAAAAGGAGTGGTGGCCCAACAAGTGAATATTCTGGTAGTGGCCCAAAAAGTGTATATTTTAGTAGTGGCCCAAAAAGTGTCTTTTTTAGTAGTGGCCCAAAAAGTGTCTTTTTCAGTAGTGGCTCAAAAGTGTATATTTTGGTAGTGGCCCAAAAAGTGTACATGTTAGCAGTGGCGCAAAAAGTGTATATGATAGTAGTGGCCCAAAAAGTGTATATTTTAGTAGTGGCCCACAAAGTGTATATTCTAGTAGTGGCCCAAAAAGTGTACATGTTAGTAGTGGCGCAAAAAGTGTATGTTTTAGTAGTGGCCCAAGAAGTGCGTATTTTAGTAGTGGCTCAAAACGTATATATTTTAGTAGTGGCCCAACAAGTGTATATGTTAGTAGTGGCCCAAGAAGTGCGTATTTTAGTAGTGGCTCAAAACGTATATATTTTAGTAGTGGCCCAAAAAGTGTATATGTTAGTAGCGGCCCAAGAAGTGTATATTTTAGTAGTGGCCCAAAAAGTGCACATTTTAGTAGTACTTAGTAGTGGCCCAAAAAGTATATATGTTAGTAGTGGCCCAAGAAGTGTGTATTTTAGTAGTGGCTCAAAGGTATATTTTAGTAGTATTTAGTAGTGGCCCAAAAAGTGTATATTTTAGTAGTGGCCCAAAAAGTGTATATTTTAGTAGTGGCCCAAAACGTGTCTTTTTCAGTAGTGGCTCAAAAAGTATATATTTTAGTACTGGCCCAAAAAGTGTATATTTTAGTAGTGGCCCAAGAAGTATATTTTACTAGTGGCCCAAAAAGTGTATATTTTAGTAGTGGCCCAAAAAGTGTACATGTTAGTAGTGGCGCAAAAAGTGTATATTTTAGTAGTGGCCCAAGAAGTGCGTATTTTAGTAGTGGCTCAAAAAGTATATATTTTAGTAGTGGCCCAAAACGTGTATATGTTAGTAGTGGCCCAAAAAGTGTATATTTTAGTAGTGGCCCAAAAAGTGCACATTTTAGTAGTGGCCCAAAAAGTGTCTTTTTCAGTAGTGGCTCAAAAAGTATATATTTTACTAGTGGCCCAAAAAGTGTATATTTTAGTAGTGGCCCAAAAAGTGTACATGTTAGTAGTGGCGCAAAAAGTGTATATTTTAGTAGTGGCCCAAGAAGTGCGTATTTTAGTAGTGGCTCAAAAAGTATATATTTTAGTAGTGGCCCAAAACGTGTATATGTTAGTAGTGGCCCAAAAAGTGTATATTTTAGTAGTGGCCCAAAAAGTGCACATTTTAGTAGTGGCCCAAAAAGTGTCTTTTTCAGTAGTGGCTCAAAAAGTATATATTTTAGTAGTGGCCCAAAAAGTGTATATTTTAGTAGTGGCCCAACAAGTGTATAATATTTTACTAGTGGCCCAGAAAGTATATATTTTAGTAGTGGCCCAGAAAGTGTGAGTGGCCCAAGAAGTGTATGTTGTAGTAGTGGCCCAAGAAGTGTATATTTCAGTAGTGGCCCAAAAAGTGTATATTTTAGTAGTGGCCCAAAAAGTGTATATGTTAGTAGTGGCCCGAAAAGTGTACATTTTAGTAGTGGCCCCAAAAAGTGTATATTTTAGTAGTGGCCCAAGAAGTGTGTATTTCAGTAGTGGCTCAAAAAGTATATATTTTAGTAGTGGCCCAAAAAGTGTATATTTTAGTTGTGGCCCAAGAAGTGTATATTTTACTAGTGGCCCAAAAAGTGTATATTTTAGTAGTGGCCCAAAAAGTGTACATGTTAGTAGTGGCGCAAAAAGTGTATATTTTAGTAGTGGCCCAAGAAGTGTGTATTTTAGTAGTGGCTCAAAAGTATATTTTAGTAGTATTTAGTAGTGGCCCAAAAAGTGTATATTTTAGTAGTGGCCCAAAAAGTGTATATTTTAGTAGTGGCCCAAAAAGCGTATATTTTAGTAGTGGCCCAAGAAGTGTATATTTTAGTAGTGGCCCAAACAGAGTACACTTTGGGGCTGGTCACCAGCCAAGTGAGCAAGTGCTTTGCCACGATCCGACTCCAATGTGACTCCAATCAGGAGGTGCCGCTGGCAGACATCTTTGCGGCGCGGCTCTCCGCGCGCCAGGCGGGAACGGAACCCCACCGTTTTGGGGCGGAAAGACGGGAGTTCAAGGGGAACAGTTTTTTTGTTCAAGAAAGAAAGACGCATCCAAAACATATGGTGGTGCCTTTTTGCATGGTGGTTCAAGGGCGACACGTCTTTGAGAAACGCAACTCCTTTTGTTTCGCCTTGACAAGCCCAACCCAGCTGCGAGGACCCCCGACCCCCGCGCCGCAAGGTTCACAAATTCCGATGGGCAGTTCCCCTTGTCTTTTGGATGTTTTAGGCTGGATAGCTTACCTCCAATGTTCGAGAAGCTTCAGCCATCCTTTCGCCCAGCGAATGCAGATTTGGGTATGCCCTTCGGCTTTGCTTTCGCCTGTGATCCGGGGGTTCAAGAGGTTTGGCGACGGTCCAAGGATGGGTTTTATGGGGCAGGAAAATGGGGTCTCTCATGTTTCCTTTTCTACCTGAAAGGTTCCGACTGGAAAACCCCCCTTTTGTGTTGCCCAAGAGGAGCTGTGCTCAAGTCAGGTCTGTGCGAAATGCTCAGCTTGGCTTCAGAAACGAACTTCAAATACAGATGTACGCGTAGTTGGCTTGTATTTCTACGCCGCTGACTCCTGACAGGACCCCGGAGGAGCCAACCCGACGGACAGGACGGTTTCCCCAAAAGTATGCAATGAAGGATTTCTCTCCTGAGGGAAGCTTCCTTAATGTAGATGAAATGCGTAAGGAGCACGTCAACGTCTTTTTTTTTTTTTTGTAAACTGTTCGCTGGCGTTGCTCTTGTGACCATCACGTCTTCTAAAAAAATGGTTTGATGGAAGGATGCGGACCCAAAACCAAGCAAATTCAGCGGAAGGTCGCCCCGCCCTTCTTCACAATTGGAAAAAAGTTCTTGAATTCCGCGACGGGTCCAGCCCGAGCCTTCATCATAGGGAAGAGATGCTCCTTTGGCCGTTAAAGATGACCAAACCACGAGGGTAAGAAAGCACTCCCCTACAAATTAACACGGAGCCAAAAAGGGGGTTCCCCAAAAGGAGATTCCGCACCAAAAACGGTGGATCTTGAATTAGTAGGGGAGTAGGTCTTGATTTGGGATCAACTGCTGAACATGGGTGGTGGGAGTCCAATATGTTTTGAACAACTGTTTACAGGACCTTAAATGGTGTTTCTACTTGTGGTTTCTCTCTAAAACTGTGAAAAAGAGAAGTACCCTCAAAAAATGACGGCCATGAAGGTGTTGGTCAAAACCTGTTGGATTGCATCAATGCGGCACTTCCATCCCATCCAAGTTTTTCTCCATGTGGAGACACACCATATCAGGGCGGACGCTTATCCCTCAACGAAGCCTTGGACATAGTGAACAAATGGCTGTCAGCTTGCCACGTTCTGTGCCAAGCAAAAAGCCTCCCTCTTGGGAGTGACTTCTCGTCGTCATGGGGCCCGCCTCGGCCTTCTGGGATTTCTCCTCGGCGACTGGTCGGGTTTTTTGAGTTCTTGAGGGTGGAGGCGACTGGTCGGGAACGTCAGCAAACCAGATGGGCCCTAGATTCTTTTCTCTTCAGCGAGTCCCTGCTTTTTTCTTGGTGGGGAGGGGGGGGGGGGGCGGAAAGAACTCGTGGGCTACATGTATGCGAACCTGCAAACTAATCGTTCGATCAATTCCCCCCTAGTGGTGTTAAAAGGAACCTACGACTACTTGACATACGTTCTCCGTTTTTTCTGCAGGCGACATTTTCGGAGCAACATGAGCCCTCCCTGTGTTGGGGAGAGACGCGATGCGACGTGAGGCAGAGCGTTGTGACTTCCCTCCTCGTGGCAGCGCCAGGCATGACACGGGCGGGTGCCTTTCTTCTGGGTTGGGTGTGTCTTTGCGGGTCCCCTAGGGGTTTTCTGGTTGTGTCTTTTAGGTGTTTCTTTTTGGGTTGTCTTTGTTGGGTGTGTCTCCTTTCTTTGGGCTTATTTGTTGTGGGTTAAATTTTTCTGCCTGCGAAAATCAAGAAGCCGTGGCCGCAGAGCTCCAATGCCCCAAGCATCCTTCAATATGATTGCAGACAACGAGCCGGGCAAAAAGGCCAGCTCAACCATGATGGTTCCGCACTTGGGGAGTCCGGGATTCCGGTTTTGGCTGTCGATGCCTAGTAAGTTTATCCACTGAAATCTCCGAAACATACAAATCATCTCTCGAATCATCCGCCCGGTTGCATCCCGTCTCAATCATCCGCCCTGTTTGTCACCCTCCCCAAATCCATACTTCCTTCGCCACCAACGCCTGAATCTTCCCCCTCCCCAGATACAACTTTTGTTCCTGAACATCCCCGTGGGTCACAAAAGCATCACCCGGAACATCCTGCTGGAGTCGCCATGTGCAGACCCCACTTATGGGTACCCTTGGTTTAAGGACTAGAACCCAACAAATCCTAGCATTCTTAGTGAGAATCTTCTGTTGGACCTTGTTTTTGGTTCCATGCTAATTAAACCAAAACCGGAGCTCCAAACATCTGCCGGCCTGACAGGTGCAAGGATTGTACTGGCCATGGGTCAAATCCAAATCGTACCCCCAGTGAACATCGCAATCCAACCACAAATCCCTGTTCTAACGTGGGTGGTGAAGTCACCTACCCCCAAATGGTACCAAAACGGTTTTGACCCACAGCCTACTCGCAAAACTCTCGTGGTGGACCCCTTTGCCACCTTTGCAGGCCGGCGCGCCCGTCCATGCGGCCATCCTTGGCCTCGCGCCTTTCTTCGCCGAGGGCGTCGCCGAAGGCGTCGCCTGCGGTGTCTCCCCGCACCTCCCCGCGGATAGGGCGGTGACGGAAAAAGCCAAGGAGACGCTCGGACTCGCAATCCGCAGGTATCAAGCAAGACGTTTGGTCGATTTTTGTTGTTGCATTTCTTATTCGACTTGACCTTTATCGGTGTGGCTCAGATTTTGGGTCAGTCTTTTTTTTTTTTTGTGTGTGTGTGTGTGTGTGCGTGTGTGTGTGTGTGTGTGTGTGTGTGTGTGTGTGTGTGTGTGTGTGTGTGTGTGTGTGTGTGTGTGTGTGTGTGTGTGTGTGTGTGTGTGTGGGGGAGGTACCTGACAACAGAAGGAAAACACCAAGCATTCGCGAAGTCACAAGAGGATGTCATGGAACCACTGCCACCAAGGCTCAGGGAATTCGGTTTAAAGTGCTCTGAATGATTGTTTATAGGGGGAATCGAAAAGAAGCTGACAGGACCTCTGGTCGCATGCCGCATTGCCATTTGACATAAGGGGAATCCTTCTGAGGGGAAGCCTTAGGATGTCATTCCTTGGTCGAAGCGGAGCCAATTTGACTCCTTCTGGCTGGCTTGGGACGGATCGCACATGGTTGGTCAACTTTCTGTTCGGCCCCCAAATGACCGTGGCGAACATGTTTTCGCTATTTTGTAGGACGACCACGGCTAACTTTTCCGATGGGACATAAAGGTCACATCCCGTGTAAAAGACCTTTTGGTCAACCCCCACATGAGGAAATGGATGGCTAGTTTCTGGGCCAGGACGCACCTAGGCAAATGGACTCTAACTCTAATAGGTTGTCCTCTCGAGTCACCTTGGAAAAGATGTACAATGCACCACTTCTACCTGCAGTTCTGCAGTTCACGGGTAGAATCGTCTAGTTCGGGATTCTGTCCTTCCAAGAGAAACTTCCTGATGAAGGACTGGAGGCCTGCTAATCAGAGCTTCGCAGCAAAGGGTTGAGGCTCTTCCACGTCTAACCGATCCTTGGCTTTACCCACAGGCGGCAAAGACTGCTGCTTTGTACATAGGACGGACACGGAGCAGGCATTCCAAATGTGCGGACGGTGGCAAGTTTCTGGATGGAGGCATTCAAGCTTTCCTTGGCTTTTTTTGGTCTGGGGGGCATGGCAATCTTTCGCAGCCGTTAAACACACACACACACATACAACCACACACGCACACACGGGTGTTTGATGTTTTGCGGGTACCTTTCTTAGGGTTGGTTTATAGGTAAACCAACGGGAGAACACCTCTATTATATGTAGGCGTCCCTATTTTCGACACATGTCCGTCGCGAACAAACACGGCTTTTGTAGTTCACAGTCTCGGTTTTCGTTTGGCGCACCGCATTGGCAGCAATGAGTCCGTCCAATTTTCACGTGAGTGAAGCAAACAGGCAACACGCAGGCTTGTCGGAGAAAAAAGAGGCGCCGGAGGCTCTATCTGGGCAAATTGCTAGACCGGGAGTAAGGAACCCCCTTTGGGGGTTCTCATTGGTTGCCAGCGTTTGAATGCAGGTCTTCATTGGGGGATAACTAACTAATCATTGGCGATGAGGTAAGCGGCTGTTCGAAGTTCTGGTTGCTTGGAATTAATGTGGATGGTTATCAGTCATCAAAGAGCAGAACTAGACAACGGCTATGGACGAAATCCTGTACCACTTGAACCACCAAGTTAAGAAAAAAAGTCCTGGCTCTCTCCGCTTTGTGGTCTGCAAGTGGTCTGTCTGTGTGTGTGTGTGTGTGTGGCAGTGGTGTTCGCGTTTTTGAGTAGAAATCGTAGTAAGTTTGCCGGCGTCAGACCATCCTTCCTTGCCAGCCGCTCAGCCCCTTCCAAGAGCACCTGTAATCTCTGAAGCCTCAGTGGGGTGAGCTGGAAAGGAACGCTCCGCTTCTGAGTGGAAGCAAGGGCTCGGTTGCCAAAAAGTTCATTGCTCGCTTGCCCGTGCCCCAAGATGATCAAAGCCGGTGGCTGGTCGACTTCCATTTGGTTAAGCATATTTTTTTTATTTCTTCTGCTGGTTTTGAGGGAATCTATCACTACTGCACATACTTGTATTTTTTCCAGGGGACTTAAGCAAATGGAGGTAGACAATTCGTGACTGGGTTCCTGTGGCTTCCCTTCACGGCTCATTTGTCCAACCCCCTTGCGAGGTAAAACGAGCGTTGGCGCAACAGAGAGGAACAGGGAGCCCTAGTCGCAGGACCAGTTTTGCAGTTTTGTTCAAAGGAATCCTTTTGACAATCGTTCGGAGGTTGCGGGGTTGAGGGTTAGGGGGGTTAGGACATTCCCATGTTTTGCTCGAGATGGTTGGGCATCAAGTTATGGGTAAGTGATGGCTCCAGGAAGTGTTGAACATAGCTGGATCTGCCCGACCCTTTGAGACTCCTCAAATTGGATCTGTCGTGCGCCTCAGGCGGCTTTCTTTTGGCGACTTCGAATCCCTCCAACGTCCGTTCCGGCGTGGCCCTCGCATGCAAAACAACCGCATGAGAGCTTGGCCTCCGACTGCCGCCTTTTCTTGGCTGACAGCGGTAGGTTTCAAGGGGATCTCTTTTGAATAATCACGAGCTGGGTATCAGCAGTTCCGGGGCCCATGATCCATCCCAACTCGCCTTCATCCTTGTTTAGAATTCCTGATCTTTGGTTTGTAAGGTCCAGAACAGGTGGAACCGCAATAGGAACACCTGCCAAGCCAAGAGCAGAATGGTTCTCGGCGCTCTTGCGCCCGGATGTTGGTCGCGGCACTTGTCCGCCCAAACCTGCAGCCCACAAACCTGGCAGCCGAAGACGTGGAGTTTGCAACTTCCAATTGGCCATGGCTCAAAATCAATGGGATCCCATTTTTGGGATAGGCGAATTCACCACCCATTTTAGAACCTATCTTAGTGGGGGTTGGGATGTTCACCGGGATTCACGGGGTTTTGACCCATGGCCATTTGATTTTTCGGAGCAGATCTTCGGCCTCTGGGTTTCAAAGGTTGACTTTTGGTTCAGAGGGACATGATCCCGACTGGCTTCTTCGGCGATTTTTGCGAGCCCCTCGTTGGCGCTTTCTGCCGAGAAAGTTACGGCAACTTGGCGCTCCAGCAAAAGACCAACAAAGAACGCACACATCCCAGACAGGGTTTCCTCCAAACCCGGATTCCATCGTTTCAACGGGCTTGCCACTGGATCTGACTCGGGAAATCCAGTGACCCATGGGCAGCTTTGGAAGCGCGAAGGCGCTCGAGCCGGGTCCTGGGATCGATCTGGAGTCCAGAGAACGGGTGTCGAAATCCGATGTCAGGGACAGCCTTCTTGAGGGGCGAGTCCTAAGTGCCTGTTACACACGTATATTATATATATATATTATATATATATATATTATATATTGTATATATATATACACACTATATATAATATGTATATATGTATATCTTTGTATATATGTGCGATGCAGAGCCTTGCACCATGAAGGATCCATGTGTTGAGATATTAATAGTCCAGCAACAAGGTCAGGTGATCGGGGCAAAAAACAACAACACTCGCGTGACACTCTCCCTTAAGCATGTGCTCCACCCAAAAGAGAAACACGCCAGTTGCCTAGTCATGATTTATACAACTGATGAGCAGCCCCCAAAACTCCTGTTGGCCATTTTCAAGTGCTTCTACCACCTGGTTTACCCCGCAGGTATCGTGACGCCTATATGAACTTTTGCCGACCATGTTCGTAGCACCAAGAGTCAATGGGTCTTCGCTCAGCTTGCAAGAGTTGTGGAGCCCCGCCCCTGAGCGTTTTGGACAAAGGTTCGATCTTATGACCATTCGTAATCCTCGATTCTTTCCTGAATCGAAATGCGTCAAAATTCCTTGGCGGATTCACGTGAACCATTGCATTGGTCAGCCCATTTTGAACCGCTCAGCACCTAGAACATTTTGAAGACGCCTGAGCATTCCTCTCTAGGGGCTAAGAAATCGTCTGGGCCCCTCGCATTGACGTGGGTGTGGGATCGACTTGTGCCGGATTTGTTTTTGTTTCTTTGTTAAACATTACTTTTCGGGGTGCCATTTTCAATTAGTTTCGGGTGAGGGTACCAAGAGTTCCTTTGAGGAGGGTACCAAGTGAGTTTCCCACTAAATATTACCTTTCAAGTGTTTTGGTGGTTTGGAGGGAAACCAAAGGAACACCCGTTTCTTTTGATCATCCCCTTGACCGACCGGTTCGCTCACATTCTTGTGGCCAAATTCCTCTCCTGTGTTTGAGGCCGCACCACAAGGGCTTGTACGTATTTTCTTGTTTTTGGGGAGGTGTTGCGTTTTCCTCTTTTCGTTTAGGAGTCCAAGTGTCTACCTCAAACTCCGCCAGCCAAAAAGAGGGCTGATTTTCCGTAACCGTGAGCCGCCGCGACCAGTGGGGTTCCCGTCTGATCCTTTCTGTCTTGGAGTTTCCTCTGAGAAAAACTTGACTTGTGCGGACTCCCCTTTCTGATATTTCCCGTCGGAGCTTTCTTTTCGTGCTTTCCCCACACTCGGAGTGGGGGGTGTTGACAGTCCGTTTCTTATGGAGGCTTCTTGAAGCTTACGCCCGCATGGACGAGGCGCCCAAGCGGGTCGGGAGTGCTGCGTGGCGAAAACGCCAATGTGGTGTGCCTGTCTTTGGTTGGTGCCTCGTTTGCAGTTTTTTTAGAGGAAAGCCTCAAGACATAGCCAATGATCTCAAAGGGCGCCGGGCACCAAGCGAACGTTGGGCAGTTTCTTCGGGAGTCCCCTTGGATAGAGCCGGCTTGGGTTCCGCAAGGCCAGACAGGCTCCGTTTTCGCGGGAGTCGTTCACGGGAAGCGGTCAAAGGGCAAGGCCGGAGTCGGCTTGGACCAGATTTTCGTTGCGGAAGGTCTTGCCACTGAAAGACCGTCCGCGTACAAAAGTGCAGGGACGTGTGGGCAAAAGTTGCATCAAAAGACACCGAGAGAGAGAGACGTTTCAAGGCACACAGAATTCGGCTTCTGGGGCCCTAGGCCCAGAACAGGGGTTTTGCAGCCACGTGTTTTCTTCTTTTGTTCCTTCTTTTTTTTCCTCCTTTTTTTCCCCTTTTTTTTTCTCCATTTTTTTCTTCTTCTTTTTTCTTCTATTTTTTTGTTCCTCCTGTTCCGGGAGGCATCATACCGTAGACAAACTTCATGGCGATGAGTTGGAGCCTCATTGATTCAATGTGCCCTCATTTTTTTTGGTTTTAAACATTATTCTTTAAAGGCTATTTTTTTCTTTCTGAACCACTACAAAGGGGTACCAACTCTAACAAATGACACGCAAGTGCAGGCCATGAGTTCCGAGTTCCGAGTTCCATCATGAGATCCGGGGTATGTCAGGAACTGAGAACAGCTTCCTGGACAGTACTCAGACCCTTCCTGGAGAGTACTCAAACCCTGTGACCAAGGGTAGAAACTCTTGGAGCACTGAAGAGATGCACCCATCGGCCAAATCGCGGGCCGCGGGCCCGCGATTTCACATATGATTGTTGGAAGTGCCCCAAATCCTATGTCTTGTGGGGCTGGTCAAAACCGGAGTTTGGTTTTGCTGGGATGCCTTTCTTGGGGTGGTTTTGAAGGGAAACTGCAAGAACAGATTCCAACTTGGAGGTTCCCATGAGACAAGACCAGATTCATTCACATAGCCCAACTTGACCATCAATTACATCTGGGTCCGGCGGGTGGTGCGACTCCATGTTGCCACGTGGCCGACAGGGCGGGGCCGAAGCGGAGCCAGGAGACGGGTTTTCAGCCAAGTAGCCCTCAGGTGGTTGGGATTCGGGTTTGAGCCCTCAGGTGGTTGGGATTGGTCGGGTTTGGGGTTTGAGGTGGTTGGGATTTCCTTTCGAAGCCAGATGGGGAGCGCCAACTAGATGTGGATGGTTGTCCCTTGGTACCTGTTGGGGATGTACCATGGTGGGAAGATCAAGGTGGTTGACTCCCAGGATCCCATAGAAAGTGGCCACAAGTGATTTTTTCGCACCGCGAGGCAGGGGACTAAGAAAGGGTGTGGTGTGCTCTTACACAGGTCTGTCTTGTTTGAGGCCAGGTACCCTTTCTGTGTTGTACTCTGAACCCCAAAGCAAACGGGTAAGCTGTTCGGTCCCCATCCGAAAGTCCCCGCGACATTGCGACACTCGAACCGGGCGCATTCGAACCCGGAATGTCCAAAGGGGGTTTCTCTCCAAATATCGGGGAGCCCCAAATATGGGGGCTGGTTTCCCCCTGGGTTCCCTTCAAACTGCCCAAAAAGGGAACCATCCACAAACAAGTAGCTTCAAATTGGGCTTGAATATCAAGTCACAATCGATTCACGTCCAGGGCTTGCTGCTAGAACCATGGCTCCAAAAGCATAGGTGTCCTTTTTGGTTGTTTTGCTCGAAAAATACATGGTGATTCCTGGTTTACCTGATGGTTTAATCCTCTACCAGGGATATCCATCTATTTCCCCTAAAAGGACACCTATGTCCAAAAGCCAGACCTGGAAAGGCCCTTGTCGTTTTTCTCCCGGCGAAACGAACTCGAGGAGGAAACAAGGACTATGCGGCGATGAAGGCGGGGGATCACCCGTCAGTTGTTTTTGTTGTTTGGGGTAGAACAAAACGATTCCGCGCATGAAGGTCGCTCACACGGGGTTCAAGTTGTCTCAACATAGGGCAGCCATTCTGTTTTTACAATTGAAGGCAACTCTAAACAGGGCAACCAAGATAAATGGGTGGTTTCTTTCTATTGGCCATTGAAAACAACTCCCCAAAGGGTATCCTCAATAAAAGACATACCGAATCTCGGCACTTTGACCTGACCCACAGAATGAGAATTCATGGGCCTCGTTGATGGTTGGTTTCCCAGGATCGTTGGCCAATGTTTAGTCTCAAGATAGGGACTAAACACTTCGGGTCTTTAAAGGGGCATGTTTGCTTTGACATGGGGGGACGCAAACAAGACTCTGATTCGCCGCTGATTTCCCATGAAGCAAAACTGTGAAAGGAGAACTTCACAGAAACAGACCCCGCTTTGGGTATGTTTCCGTTTTTTTCTTTCATACCTGTTGTGAGGCTCTTTGAAAGGGACAACTTCTAGCCACTTGGAGACGCCCATTTGGTTTTGGTACATGGGTGTACTATGCTGCCAGGATGGTTCGCAAGGGGCCTCATTTCCCTACTGAGAACCATCAGGATCAAGTCTCAACACCCTACATCGAAATCTGAACCCAAAGTCAGGTTTGGGGGCCCCGCTGCCAGACTGATGGTGAAGCGATAGCAGTTGACATTGCTATTTCTGAACAGATGGCTGGCCTGACCCTACAGCAAGCGCTCTGAACATGTTCTTCCCTTCTAGGGCGACACCCTTTGGTTCCCCGTTTTCTCACCGACGGCGGATCTTTCCAACTGGCAAGCCAGTGGTTGCCCAAGGATGGGCTTGCCTTTTGCTGAGAATCTTGTTTTTTGTTCTTGGGACAAGCTATTGGGGAGCCGCAGTCAGAGGCGGGTTTTCAGGTGAGGTTTCTATGTTTTGTCTTGGGAGGGACGGGGGACGAGCCACATACTTTTCAATCACAAGAGCCAGGGCCTCAGCAGAGGGCACGTCTGCAAATGATCGGCTCGGGAAAGATTGCCGCGGAAACTAATCGGTTTTGTTGAAGTTCACCTCGGAAGGGCTCAAAGATTGGCCTTGTGTATTGACGCAACAAGGAGTTGCCCAATGTCAAAATCATGAAGATAGTCGTTGCAAACTGACTTGAGCGCACCCTTTTTGGGGTTTGCAAAAGGAAGCCAGGAGACACTCCACCTTCCCATCCACGCTGCCATGAAATCTGCATGGGTGCTGATTCTGCTGATTCTGCAAAGGACGAGCTGGGGCGGACCACTTTCTCATTTCTCAGTCCATGCAAAAACCCGCGACCCATGAGTTGCCCGATGTCCGCCCCCTCTCCCTATGGCCACGGAGCCAGGGCGGCGAAGCCGACTCGACTTGAGGTCCAAAGGTTTTGGCCATTTCCGAGAGCCAGATAGACAGTTGATTTTGTTGTTTGGGCCCCTCTTTTCTTCCCCAGTGGTGGAAAGCAGCCAGACAGTTGGACCAGTTGCATGGTCGTATTTTTTGGGCCCCTCTTTTCTTCCCCAGCGGAAAGCTCTGGGGTCGACAGGCCCAGAAATCGGCGCGTCCGTTCCGGACATTTCGGGGCTGGGGGCATTGTCCACCTCTGATGAATAAACCCCTCCCCCCCCCAACAACCGAAGTCCCTCAAACAAAGTTGGGAAAGTATACCAATCATGCTCATCGTAGGGGGCCTCCGATTTGCCAGCATAGGTGTCCTTTTTTGTTGTTGTTTTGGTAGACAATAGATGGCGATTCCTGGTTTACCTGGTGCAAGATCATCTACCAGGGAAATCCGTCTATTTCCAACCTAACCGGACACCTCTTCGCTCCGCAAGATTTTTCTCGGAGGTCCCGGAGCTGAAGGAGGAGCTGAGGAAGCGGAACCTGCCGGTGTCCGGGCGCAAGGCGGAGCTGCTGCATCGCCTGGAGGCCATTTCCCAGGCGGAAGGTTTCGGGGGGGGGGAGCGGGGGTGGGGGTTGGTTGGGTTTAGGGGTTTAGGGGTTTGGGGGTTTAGGGGTTTAGGGGTTGGTGGGTTTAGAGGTTGGTGGGTTTAGGGGTTTAGGGGTTTGGGGGTTTAGGGGTTTAGGGGTTTAGGGGTTTGGGGGTTTAGGGTTGGTTGGGAGTTGCGTTTTTTTTGCCCCCACACAAAAGGTGCGGCAAGTTAAGCGAAAGATCTTTGGCCGGCAGTTGGGCACCAACACATTGCCAGACTTGGCTTACCCTCTAAACTTTTTGCTTGTGTTCTTCCTTCATGTTGCCTTTGAACCTGCAACAGGTTGGTGTTTAAGTCTGAGGCACACATGCCTCCATGCATGCGTGCGCGCGCGCGCGGGCGTGCGTGCGTGCGCGTGTGTGCTTGTGTGTGTGTGTGTGCCATGGACGTTTGTTGCTATTGCGCAGGCCATGGCTGACAGATCCAATGGAGGTGTCAGCGTACTCGCATGCCTGCTGGCGATTTCTTTTGTCGTAAGTGAGCGCTTGGACCTGAAAAGGGCTTTGCTCGGTTTGGTCTGCCCGCACAAGGCTCGGTCGTAAAAGCCCCAGATGGGTTCTCACCCAGCCCTGCGCAGGTTCTGAGACCTTCCTGGCTTGTGGCTTCGGCCTTTGATTCCCTGGTTCGTTGGACTCCGGCGTTTCCAGGTACGGGTTTTGGAGGTCTGGATGCTTCTGCACCACCAATATGAGCTTTTACCGCTGAAAAGACTGTAAGATAAAGGAACCTAAACCCTACCTCCAAAACCCATACGTGAAAATACCCTTGTCAGGCAATGACAGGAGAGGTGGACGTGGTGGAAGTGGCGGAAGAGGGGGAAGCGCAGAAGCCGGCAGTTGAGGCGCGCGGATGCCTGTTTGTTGTTGTAAAACAGGAATCCGCATCTTTTTTTTGCTTTCAAGTGGTTTTGTTGAATGGCTTCCCAAAGTAGGCCTCATTGGTCTCATGCACTGATTGAGAGCAAGAAGCCACTAGCGACCCGATAGCCGGGGCCATTGGCCATTAAGGACCATTCAAGTCACGACGTTCCTTGCGAGACGGCTTTGAATGAGTATTGCAAGATGGATGGTTCCCAAAACATGGCTTGGTTTTAGACTCGTGATCTACACATCCCAAGTTATAGGAAGTGCACAATCCGGGCATTTGTTGGCTTGCGCGTGCGCTTGATTGACCTGCTCCTGTGCGTCTTTTTTTCTCCAACAGAGTGGGCCGGATCGGCGGGCCCGGATCCGAGAATCCGAAGGTCATGTTGCAGCTCCCAAACTGGAGTCACGCCAAGATTGGTCTCTTTCTCGGTTCCCCGAACGCTTGAGCACATGCAGACTTTTCCGGTGGCTTTTGTTCTTGGTATGGGTTATTCTTGCTTTTGGTCCTTTTGGGAGAGGGCTATAGCAACGAACTACTTCCATCAAAAGACTGAACCATGCTGCCTGCGTTCTCTTGCAAGTGGCAAACTCTGGCTGGGCCAAAGATCTGGTGGCAAGGAAGAGACAAGGAATCAACCGCTAGATGTACTTGCTGCAGTGGTAGGCTTGTTTTGAACATGAGTTCAAGGTGGGTTGTTGGCTTTGACACAGCCGTACATAGGTGTGCGGAAGAACAAATGGCTCGGCGTATGGGAATGTGGCTATAAAAAGGCATGGCAACAACTGAGGGCAAGCAGACGCTGACGGCACATCAGGGCCAGCCAACACTTTTGCAGAAGACATGGCAGAAAGTGAAGCTGAAGATCAACGTATCACCGTTCAGTTCGGGCGGGACCTAGACAAGCGTTTAGTTTCGCGTAGTCGGTTGCGGAAAATTGGTGCGAGATGTGGATCCGGGAGCCTTCCAAGCTGACGACTTCCTCGGCTTTCTCGGTTCGGTTCCTTCAAGCCAATAGGGTGACGGGTGACGCGCGGATGTGCCCATCTCGCCTTTCTTTTTGCCATCTCTGACACGAGTTTTTTTTTGAGTCTTCGCCCGATGAGTCAAAGTTGCTGAAGCACGTTGCTTGTTTCGAGGGAAGAGGGCTGTTTGCTTGTGCAGTTCGGGCAAATTCGAGTGGGCCGAAAGGCAACACGCAGCCACAAAAGGCCAGTGACATTCGAAGCTTGCAGAAGCAAATCGAAACTAGGCGCACCTCCAAGTGGTTGTTTTCATGAGCATGAGTTCAACCTGGGATGTTAGCTTCGGCAGTAGGTGTTCGGAAAAGACATTCAGATCAAAGGCAAATCTCAGTTACCAAAAGGAGAGTACACGGAAGTGGTTCTTTTTCCTGGTTGTTTGTCAAAATATACTCTTTCAACATCCTGCATGATCCACAAAAGCTAAATCCAAACTCATGAAACAATCATGCTGTGGATCGTTCAGAAACCCTGGAATGATATGTTTCCCCTGTACCTGCAAAAAAAACGTTATGGCTTCAACCATGGTTGAACGCGGTGCGAAATAATATTTTGTCCACGGGAGCCAGCCTAGTGACTGGTGACGAAGCTTTTCTTGCCATGGCCCATGTTACTTCGCTCTTGCCCGGGGTTGGCTTCAGAAGGGAGTCGAAGCCCAATTCGGAGAACCACATTTTTGCCACATCCCATGGGTATGAATTTCAATTGACCAATTCGCATTCAGGTGGGGATTTTTGTCCGGGCCGGATGGGCAATATGTATTACCCACTTGGGGATGGAGCCCAATTGGGCCTGATGGGTTCATAGCCATAGGGGGTGTGTCTCAGAATGGGAACCCTCAGAAAAGGACACACCCATACTGCCCAAAAAGTTTTCCAAAACTCTGCCCTCGATATGTGCTGCCGCATGTAGGAAGCTGAAGAAGAGTTAGAACCACAGCGAGCGCCTGAGGCGCCCCAGAGTCAAGTGTTGGCCGCTGGCGTTTGCCTTTCTTTTTGGTACTCCAGATAAAGAGGTGGGTTTGGGGTGGTGATGTTGGTGTTGTTTTTCGCATGGGCCACGAGGGCTGGTAGATCGAGGTTAGTCAATGGTAGATTCCGTGGGACCAAAACTTGACACCCCGTTGCTCGGTATTTGCTCGTGACTCCTGGGACAATACGGAGCTCGGGGCCGGCATGAGCTGGTTTGCCTGGAGCACTTGGGTGAAAGGGTGCTGCCCGGCCAGAAAACGGAGGATGGAGCCACGAGGCTAGGAAATAGGTTAGGTTTGCCTTGGTTTCCTTTCAGCCAGTTTCTAGCCTTGCGGTGAGTCTTGTTCGGAATGAATGAATCAGTTGGGGTGTTTGGTTGTGTCGCCTTTTGATCGGAGCGGTCGCTGTGCCTTGCAGGCGCTGGCGGAAGAGATGAAGGTGGAAGCCGAGCAACCGGCTGCCGAGGCTGGGTCTGGGTTTGGGAGGTTTCGGGGAATGACACGTCGGGATACTGCTTGGGTTCGTTTTGTGCGAACGCATTCGATGCACCGTTTTGTTCTGAGAAGATTCACGGCTGGTTCAACCAGTGAAACAGCTAAGAAGATGGGTTTGGCGGGCACCCTCTTTTTGTGCTTTCTGAGACAACAATGTGACTTTGTGTCAAAACCGGTTTCATGCTTTTGTTTCTCGCGTGGGCCCAATGCAGCTCTTAGATTTGACAAGCAGTGCAAGGGTGTGCAGTAGTGACATGCCACGAGGGTTGAAAATAGGTTAGGTTTGCTTTGGTTCCCTTTCAGCCAGTTTCTAGCCTTGCGGTGGGGTCTTTGTCGGAATCAATGAATGAGTTGGGGTGGTTGGTTGTGACGCCTTTTGATCGGAGCGGTCGCTGTGCCTTGCAGGCGGTGGTGGCGGAAGGGGAGGCGGAGGTGGAAGCCGAGCAACCGGCTGCCGAGGCTGGGTCTGGGTTTGGGAGGTTTCGGGGAATGACACGTCGGGATACTGCTTGGGTTCGTTTTGTGCGAACGCATTCGATGCACCGTTTTGTTCTGAGGAGATTCACGGCTGGTTCAACCAGTGAAACAGCTAAGAAGATGGGTTTGGCGGGCACCCTCTTTTTGTGCTTTCTGAGACAACAATGTGACTTTGTGTCAAAACCGGTTTCATGCTTTTGTTTCTCGCGTGGGCCCAATGCAGCTCTTAGATTTGACAGTGCAAGGGTGTGCAGTAGTGACATGCCACGAGGGTTGAAAATAGGTTAGGTTTGCTTTGGTTCCCTTTCAGCCAGTTTCTAGCCTTGCGGTGGGGTCTTTGTCGGAATCAATGAATGAGTTGGGGTGGTTGGTTGTGACGCCTTTTGATCGGAGCGGTCGCTGTGCCTTGCAGGCGGTGGTGGCGGAAGGGGAGGAGGAGGTGGAAGCCGAGCAACCGGCTGCCGAGGCTGGGTCTGGGTTTGGGAGGTTTCGGGGATGACACGTCGGGATACTGCTTGGGTTCATTTTGTGCGAACGCATTCGATGCACCGTTTTGTTCTGAGGAGATTCACGGCTGGTTCAACCAGTGAAACAGCTAAGAAGATGGGTTTTGGCGGGCACCCTCTTTTTGTGCTTTCTGAGACAACAATGTGACTTTGTGTCAAAACCGGTTTCATGCTTTTGTTTCTCGCGTGGGCCCAATGCAGTCTGAAAAGATTTGACAAGCAGTGCAAGGGTGTGCAGTAGTGACATGCCACGAGGGTTGAAAATAGGTTAGGTTTGCTTTGGTTCCCTTTCAGCCAGTTTCTAGCCTTGCGGTGGGGTCTTTGTCGGAATCAATGAATGAGTTGGGGTCGTTGGTTGTGACGCCTTTTGATCGGAGCGGTCGCTGTGCCTTGCAGGCGCTGGCGGAAGAGATGAAGGTGGAAGCCGAGCAACCGGCTGCCGAGGCTGGGTCTGGGTTTGGGAGGTTTCGGGGAATGACACGTCGGGATACTGCTTGGGTTCATTTTGTGCGAACGCATTCGATGCACCGTTTTGTTCTGAGGAGATTCACGGCTGGTTCAACCAGTGAAACAGCTAAGAAGATGGGTTTTGGCGGGCACCCTCTTTTTGTGCTTTCTGAGACAACAATGTGACTTTGTGTCAAAACCGGTTTCATGCTTTTGTTTCTCGCGTGGGCCCAATGCAGTCTGAAAAGATTTGACAAGCAGTGCAAGGGTGTCATGCCACGAGGGTTGAAACGGGCACCCTCTTTTTGTGCTTTCTGAGACGACAATGTGATTTTGTGTCAAAACTGGTTTCATGCTTTTGTTTCTCGCGTGGGCCCAATGCAGTCTCTTAGATTTGACAAGCAGTGCAAGGGTGTGCAGTAGTGACATGCCACGAGGGTTGAAAATAGGTTAGGTTTGCTTTGGTTCCCTTTCAGCCAGTTTCTAGCCTTGCGGTGGGGTCTTTGTCGGAATCAATGAATGAGTTGGTTGTGTCGCCTTTTGATCGGAGCGGTCGCTGTGCCTTGCAGGCGCTGGCGGAAGAGATGAAGGTGGAAGCCGAGCAACCGGCTGCCGAGGCTGGGTCTGGGTTTGGGAGGTTTCGGGGAATGACACGTCGGGATACTGCTTGGGTTCGTTTTGTGCGAACGCATTCGATGCACCGTTTTGTTCTGAGGAGATTCACGGCTGGTTCAACCAGTGAAACAGCTAAGAAGATGGGTTTGGGCGGGCACCCTCTTGTTGTGCTTTCTGAGACAACAATGTGACTTTGTGTCAAAGCCGGTTTCATGCTTTTGTTTCTCGCGTGGGCCCAATGCAGTCTCTTAGATTTGACAAGCAGTGCAAGGGTGTGCAGTAGTGACATGCCACGAGGGTTGAAAATAGGTTAGGTTTGCTTTGGTTCCCTTTCAGCCAGTTTCTAGCCTTGCGGTGGGGTCTTTGTCGGAATCAATGAATGAGTTGGGGTGTTTGGTTGTATCGCCTTTTGATCGGAGCGGTCGCTGTGCCTTGCAGGCGCTGGCGGAAGAGATGAAGGTGGAAGCCGAGCAACCGGCTGCCGAGGCTGGGTCTGGGTTTGGGAGGTTTCGGGGAATGACACGTCGGGATACTGCTTGGGTTCGTTTTGTGCGAACGCATTCGATGCACCGTTTTGTTCTGAGGAGATTCACGGCTGGTTCAACCAGTGAAACAGCTAAGAAGATGGGTTTTGGCGGGCACCCTCTTTTTGTGCTTTCTGAGACAACAATGTGACTTTGTGTCAAAGCCGGTTTCATGCTTTTGTTTCTCGCGTGGGCCCAATGCAGTCTCTTAGATTTGACAAGCAGTGCAAGGGTGTGCAGTAGTGACATGCCACGAGGGTTGAAAATAGGTTAGGTTTGCTTTGGTTCCCTTTCAGCCAGTTTCTAGCCTTGCGGTGGGGTCTTTGTCGGAATCAATGAATCAGTTGGGGTGTTTGGTTGTGTCGCCTTTTGATCGGAGCGGTCGCTGTGCCTTTGCAGGCGCTGGCGGAAGAGGTGAAGGTGGAAGCCGAGCAACCGGCTGCCGAGGCTGGGTCTGGGTTTGGGAGGTTTCGGGGAATGACACGTCGGGATACTGCTTGGGTTCATTTTGTGCGAACGCATTCGATGCACCGTTTTGTTCTGAGGAGATTCACGGCTGGTTCAACCAGTGAAACAGCTAAGAAGATGGGTTTTGGCGGACACCCTCTTTTTGTGCTTTCTGAGACAACAATGTGACTTTGTGTCAAAACTGGTTTCATGCTTTTGTTTCTCGCGTGGGCCCAATGCAGTCTCTTAGATTTGACAAGCAGTGCAAGGGTGTGCAGTAGTGACATGTTACGAGGGTTGAAAATTGGTTAGGTTTGCTTTGGTTCCCTTTCAGCCAGTTTCTAGCCTTGCGGTGGGGTCTTTGTCGGAGTCAATGAATCAGTTGGGGTGTTTGGTTGTGTCGCCTTTTGAATGGAGCGGTCGCTGTGCCTTTGCAGGCCGCGGCGGAAGAGGTGAAGGTGGAAGCCGATCAACCGGCTGGCGAGGCTGGGTCTGGGTTTGGGAGGTTTCGGGGAATGACACGTCGGGATACTGCTTGGGTTCATTTTGTGCGAACGCATTCGATGCACCGTTTTGTTCTGAGGAGATTCACGGCTGGTTCAACCAGTGAACAGCTAAGAAGATGGGTTTTGGCGGGCATCCTCTTTTTGTGCTTTCTGAGACAACAATGTGACTTTGTGTCAAAGCCGGTTTCATGTTTTTGTTTCTCGCATGGGCCCAACGCAGGCTCCTAGATCTGACAAACAGAGCAAGGGTGTGCAGTAGTGACATGTCACGAGGGTAGAAAATTGGTTGGGTTTGCTTTGGTTTCCTTTCAGCCAGTTTTGTTGCAGGGGTTTTGCAGCAGCGATCAGAATCAGTTAGGAGTCCATGTTTTGGAGGTGTCGTTGGTTTTGCCGCCTCTTGCTTGGAGCGGTGGTTGGGCTCATTTTGTGCGAGCGCATTCGGTGCATGGCTTTTGTTTTGAGGATCCGCGCTTGGTTTGAGCAGTAAAGCAGCTAAATGGACGGGTTAAGGCGGGCACCATTTTTCTTTGCTGGCACAATAATGCGACTTTGTGTCAAAGCCAGTTTCATGTTTTGGCCTGCGCCCAAGAATTGGCCTGCGCCCAAGAAACCGGCGTGGCTTTTTCATCTTTTTGTATGTTGCATCCCCGGGACGTAAACGCACGCTGCACGAGTGTTCCCCGACTGCGTTTCTTGTGGCCTGCCTGCGCGGCATTTGGGACAGATTTCACCCTACACACACATTACTTTCCTGTGGTGTTTCACGTTGTTCCCGGGGCGGGGCACACCAACATCCCTCGCCCCTTCTCAGCACTGCACACTCTCTCCTGCCAAATGGTAAGCACACCCAGTCATGAGTCATGTTTACTCATTTTCAGATTTCAATAAACCGTTAGCGCTAGTAGCCGCTGTAGCAACTTCGTTTTGGTTCGCCCTGCTGCCGCGACGATTGCTAAAAATCCTAGGTGCCAGAGCAAATGTGGGCCCGAACACAAGGTGTATTTTGAGAGATCGGAAGCATCCCACACTGGGTGTGTTCAGTCTGTCGGCACAGCGTCTGATCGACGCTCCTCTCCCACCCAATATGCTGACACTGAGCTCAACCTTCTGGATGTGCCTCTTCACTGGCAGCTGTCAACTTGGAGGAGCTGGAACGCCACTGCTTTGCGACCCTCCAGCATTTTTGCTGAGCAAATTGCAGCGTTCGCAGGCAACGACTCTGCAATCACCGGACCTGCAGTTGCAACCCGGGCCTTCGTTACGCAACGGCTCCCGAACAACATCGGAGCCTTCCGCAAACTCCCATCTAGCGCTATGCTCGTTCTGTATGTTTGGTTGGGTTTGCTTTGGTTTCCTTTCAGCCCATTTTCTAGCGTTGCAGCAAGGTCTTTGAAGCGATCAGTGAATCAGCTGGGAGTCTTTGCTTTGGAAACACACTTCTTTGGTTTTGTCGCCTTTTACTCGGAGCGGTCACTGTGCCTCGCAGGCGCTGGTGGCGGAAGGGGAGGCGGAGGTGGAAGCCGAGCAACCGGCTGCCGAGGTTGGGTCTGGGTCCAGGAGGGATTGGGGAATGACATGCCGGGTATACTCCTCGGGATCGTTTTGCGACTTTGAGTGCGTCGGTTTGTTTTGAGGATTCATGCGTGGTTCAACCACTGAAACAACTACAAAAGGGGTTTTGGCCGACACCTTTTTTTGTGTTTTCCGGCACAATCATGTGATTTTGAGTCAAAACCAATTGAATGTTGTTTGTTGTGTTTTTTCTCGCATGGGCTGACATGCACAGGTGAATTGTAGATTCCGGTACAAGAGCCACGAGGCTCAAACATAGGTTTGGTTTGCATTGGTTTCCTTTCAGCCAAATTTCCAGACTTGCAGCGGGATGTTTGGAGGAATCAGTGAATCAGTTGGGAGTCCATGCTTTGGACAACACCCACAAAGAGTTTTGGGTTGTGTCTCGCCTCTTGACCGGAGCGGGCGCTGTGCCTTGCAGGCGGTGGTGGCGGAAGGGGAGGCGGAGGTGGAAGCCGAGCAACCGGCTGCTGAGGTTGGGTCTGGGATCGGGAGTTTTTGGGGAATACAGTGCATCATTTTGTTCTGAGGGTTCCAGCTCGGTTCAATCCGCAGAAGCACAAAGATGGAGGGGCGTTGCTTGCCTCTCTATTATTTGGTACTCCCGAAACAAAGAACACTGACAAGCAGTGCAAGGGCGTGCAGTATAGTGACATGCAACCCAAGCGCATGAGAACGTGGGCGTGTAGACTGAGGTTCATTGAATGTAGTTTGCGTGAAGGGAACAAACCTTGACCTTCAATCAGGATACACCAGCCACCAAATTAGACCAGAGGAAGACAGTAGGTCTGGTTTGCATTGGTTTGCTTTCAGCCAGTTTTCCGGCCTTGAAGCGGGGTGTTTGGAGGAATCAGAGAATCAGTTGGCAGTCCATGCTTTGGACAACACCCACAAAGAGTCTTGGGTTGTGTCCCGCCTCTTGACCGGAAAGGTTGCTGTGCCTTGCAGGCGGTGGTGGCGGAAGTGGAAGCCGAGCAACCGGCTGCTGAGGTTGGGTCTGGGTTTGGGAGTTTTTGGAGAATACATGCCGGGAATACTCCTTGGGCTCATTCTGTGCGAGTGCATCATTTTGTTCTGAGGGTTCCCGCTCGGTTCAATTCGCAGAAAGTCAAAGATGAAGCCGCCTTGTTTGCCGTTCTTTTTGGTACTTCCGAAACAGAAAAACTGAACAAACTGGTGAAACAGCCAATATTCTTTTTTTGGGCGAACCTTTCTTTTGCGTTTTCCCTCCACAAACTTTAGAGCCTCCGGCTCAGTCCGCCGACATTGTCCTCTCCCTTTTCTCCTTCTTCCTCT